AGCCAGATGTTTCGTCGCCCTCTAGTGTTTATATGTGTGATGTAATCCATCACTGTACCTGTTTGTTTTTGTTTTTGACACTACCTCAGCTCCAAACCAATTTATTTATTTTCCTTTCGATCGGAACATAAACTGGATGCGTACAATACTGTATGTCTGTGCAGCTCAAACATGGACAGTCTGTCCCCTCCTCAAACTAAAACGTCACTTATAAAGCTGAAGATCTCACATCATTGCTCTGAAATAACTTCACATTTCAGTTTCCTGCATGGCTTCATGGATCAACAACGCTCCATCCTTCTCCCTCATAATGACTGTCTGTCTGTCTGACAACATCATCATCATGTCTCTGGGCCAAGAGCTTCATCCTTACACTGCAAAACACAAAATCTCACCAAGAATATTAGTTCTAGTGCAAATATCTTAATACACTTGAAATAAGACAAATGTAGGAGCTTGATTTAAGTCAATTATTCCTTAATATTGATTAAAAAACAAATGCTAGTTATAAGTAGACATGTCCGATCCACTTTTTTCTCTTCCTATACCTGAAGTAAAATAAATAAATAAACTGAATCTCATAAAAATAAAAATAGGTTGAGTACTTTGGTCAAACATGTAAAGATAAACTGCAACAAAGCTTTAAAAAGTAGAATGAAAAATGTTAAATATAATTTAAAATCAATAATAAAGCATGTCGTCGATCAGAGGACGAAGCATAGAATTAGAGAGCTGCCTTTATTAACATTGTCTCCGATACTTGATTTAGACATTTTCTTTATATCGGAACCGGTATCGATATTGGTATCGGATCAGTTCATCTCTAGTCATATAAAAGAAACAAGAAACTTTCAGGGAAAATGTCTTGAATAAGCTCTTATATCTTCCTGAAAAGTTACTCACGAGTTTTTTTTCTTATTTCAAGTGTATAAAAATATTTACTCAAGGAACTAGACCAAAAGGCACTTGGTGAGATTTTGTTTTTACAGTGTAAACCTCCTTGGTTTAAATTCAGAAAATGAAGCGTTCCATTTCTCTCCGAACACACACACCTCACCAGGCATTCCTAACGCTTCCACTCGTCACACACACACACACACACACACACACACACACACACCATCTCCCACCTTCCTTTGCCTTCCTGCCCACCCACCCGCTTCACAGAGACCCCCTGCCTGCCCTGGCTGTTCTCCCGGCTCACTGGCACCGCCCTGCTGGATGGAAGAGGCAATGAACAGGCTAAGCAAGAGCGATCTTCTGCAGCTTTTTAATTTATTTTTTCCTGTTATTTCCAGCGTCTTGCAAAAGTATTAATACTGCTTGAAGTTTGACAGATTTTGTCACAGAACAGCTACAAACTTCAATGCCTTTTATTTGGGTTTCATCAGATCGGCGTTCTTATTTGCTTCATGACTTTAGTCTTACTGTTTGGAGAACATCTGTGAAGATCCATTAAGGTTTGGACTTTGACTGGACTATTATACCATAAATATACTTTCATGCTAATAAGAGTTAAGATATTTGGGATCATGAATCTAAATGAAGATTATAAATATCTATATAGTAGGAATTACTTTATTATTTATTTGTGTTTTAGATTTCTTAATCTGGGATCTGAGTCGAGCAATAAAAAACCCTTGAAAGGAAACAAAAGTTACAAAATGTAGATATCAGTTTCTATTTTGATTTTAAGAAAGTTGTTCTGGTTTTTTTCCCGAAACATTTCCCTTCTTGCCTGGACAAGTACAAACAAAACGTAAAATGTTACTACAATGGAGAAGCCTGATTTCTGTATAAAAGAGAACTGCAAATAATTGGACAGTTGAAGCATAAAATGTGAAAAAGTTACAATGTTGCATCACTTTGTGTTAATCTAATACTGAAAATCCCAATGAAACATTGAAGTTTGTGGCTTTAATGTGTCAAATTGTGAAAAACTTCAGTGGTTTTAATAGTTTATCAAGCTACTGTAGCTTTAAAAGCCTTTCCTGCTCAGGCACTTCTGGTTTTTATTTACTTCTTTTTTTGTTTTTAAACTCTGACCTCAAACACTTTGTGTCAGAGTGAAGCTCTCGTATTCGTGGATCTTCGTCTTGTCTTGACTGTCGTAGCTGCATCATCGTTTTCATGCAGAATCCCAAACTAGCAGTAGGAGTTTTTTGTTTTTTTCGTGTCTGTTCAGTGTTTGAGGTCATGGTTGACTGAAAACCAAAGCATGAGAAATGAAAACGGAGGTGAGAGAAATTTGAAGCTGCATTCAACCATCCATGTGTTTTGCATGTTTGGATCTGTCGAGTGTGAGAATGAGGGGAAGTTGCACCTTGCTTTTACTCTCTCACTAATCTTCACACTCCTTCCTTCTCTCTCTCTCTCTCTCTCTTTTGTTTTATTTTTTTATTTTACTGACTTTATCTCCCTGCAGCACACGCAAACAAAACTACATGATGAGCTTTGCCAGACAGACCGGGATGCGTCACTACTACAGCCGCAAGCGGCGGGCACTGCAGCAGCGTGCCTGAACCCCCCGCTCTCCTCCTGACCGCATTTCGCCCCATTGTGACCCGTCCGCCGGTGGATTCGAGTCGTCCCGCCCATCTTCTGCTCGTTCTCAACAAATCACCTTGGCGTTCTCAACCAAACCCAATAAAACTCATAACGAAGGAATAAGGCGGCCATTTTGGAACGGATGGTCCACGGTTTCTAGTTCTTTTGTAATTGTCGCTGCCATTCCTTTAAATCCTTCGCCGTATCCCTTCTTTTCCTACCACACTGTGAAATTAAAAGATGATTTATCACTGCTGAACTGACCAGCTGATTGGAGAGTAGCCTCCCAGTTCCACTGAGCCGCCTCCGAAGCTGCCAAACCAGTAAGCCAGGAGAAGGGGACACAATGACCATAAAGAAGGAATAACAATGAAGCTTAAAAAAAACTGAAAAAGGAAAAAAAGTAGAGTAACTGTGTTCTTGGTGTTCTGTGTGTTTGTGGGTTAATTTTGTGATAAGTTGACTGTGGTGTTCCGTTTGTTTGTTCGTTTTCTACTAATTCATATGATATTATAGGGGAGGGACTGGGGGATATGCTGGGTTTTGTTTGCCTTCTTATTTTATTTTTGGATCACATGAGCAACGAGCAAAAAGCCTCAACAACAACCAGAGAACGAAGGAAAAGATTTGCACGAAAACTAAAAAAAAAAAAAAAAATTATGGGGAAAAATTTTTTTTGTTTTTTTTTATATATATGTTGGTTTCCGAAAAATACAGATATTTATGGTAAATGGTTCTTCACGTAACCTATTTAAGATGCACTGTGCGTGAAATCTGTACGTTATTTTCCAGTGTTAAGTTATTAGACAGTCGAGTCAGGCTCTCGGACTGCAACATCTCCCCTCTTCCTTCACTTTCCTACGATGGCGAATTGGAGCTGATGTGGATTTTTTTCAAAAGTACTTTTACACCAGAAACACTGAGATTTTCTTGAAAAAATAAGGAAATTTGAAAGTTGTAAATTTGCAAGAAATAACTCAGAATTTTTTAGGCTAATCTCAAATGTTTCTAGAATTTTTTTTTATTTTTTTTTTTAGAAATTTCTGAGCTCAAAAATCTGTGGGAAAAACTCAAATTTTAAGGTCAATTCAGTTTCTGGAAAAATTGTTGAACTTTCTGAGCTTGAAAAAAAAGTCCTAAATATGCAAGAATAAAATCAGAAATATTGACATTAATCTCCAAAGTGTTCTAGGAAAAGCTTGAAATTTCTGAAAAGTTGAACATTTTTAATTTTGGAACTCATAAAATTTCCAAAAGTTGTGAATTTTCTACATTTTGAGATCAATAATTTCCACCTTTCTTATAGAAAATATTGCAAAATTTATCAAAATTTGTTTTTTCTCCCGAATTTTAGGCTTGAGCACGTTTTCTTTTTCTAGAAAATTTCTGAGTTTAATCTCAAATTTTCTGAGTTTAATTTTTACAAATTTATGACTTTTGGTGCTCCAAAATTTCTGACATAGTTTTATGGTGGAAATTTACTCCTTTTTTTCTATCTACATCAACCCTGATTGGCCGTCGTCCTTTCCTGTTTTCTTGTGCTGTTTCCTCTTCTCCCACTTCCTCTCTCTGCTGATTTCTGATACCTGGAGGTGAGGCTCTATTAGTGTCGTTTATGGACGTCTGTGTAACATGGACCCTCTGACCCTCAGTGTAACTCCAGTATAGCAATCTCCTGTATATATATGTATATCCACTATGGGGAGACCCAGCAGCCTTATAAAAGGGAAATAAAGAACTGTCAAACCTCAAACTACATTTTGTCACATTTTTCCTTTCTTAAAAGCCTACATATTATCTACAGTTCAGGACTTGACAAAAACCATCTTTAATTTCTAGAAGCAACAAGTAGCCATTAATCTGATTGAAAGGATGAGGATTTGGGCCACTAAATTTTTTTTTCTCAGAATTCTGACTTGAAACTATTTTTTACTTTTTTTCCCAATTTTTTTCCTCAATTTTCAGAATTTACTTTTTCATTAAATTCTTTCATCCAAATTCTTTTTGCTCAATTTTTTTTCACAATTCTGAACTACAACTACTTTTCTTGTTTTTTTTTCTCACAATTGACAAAAACAAAAATGTTCATAATTTTTTCTCAATTCTTAGAATTCTGACATTTTTACTAGATTCTTTAATCTCGGAATTATTTCTCAGAATTCTGACTTTAAATTATTTTTTTCTCAATTCAATCTCAATGTTGCGGTTAAAGTGGAAAAAAATTATTAATATTTTTTAGCCATTGATATTGCAGGTATGACCTCTCATTTAGGTAGTGCTTTAAAACGTCTTTCACCGCATTATTTAATCTGAAATATTTTATTACAGATCTTGGGATAAAAACATAAATACTCGTTAAAAACATTGTAATAAAAACGTCTCACATTCGCATGGCGCACACTGCAGTTTTCAGACTGCGTGTTCGCCCCTCTACCTCTTATTACTTATTTTACTCACAAACAGGTAATAGCAGAGGCAGCCAGAAGGGTTATAAGAACACGAAACGGTTTGACCTTGACCTCTGAGTTACAGTACGGCCAGTCACAGCAGCTGAAGGTCATGGCGTAGATGGTCCCTCTGAGCCGGATGTCGCTTTGTTTTCCGCAGCTCTTCACCGGAAAGCACCCCCTCGCCGACAGGGCAGTGACGTTTCCATAGCGGCCCAGCGCCTTGAAGCACACCTCGCGAGGAGGACACTCTGTCACAATGAGGTCAAAGGTCATCGCCTCCTCCGTCTTCAGGATGGGGCTGTAATAGCACAGCAGATTCCCACAGAGCAACGAGGGCAGAAGAAGAAGAAAACACAAGATGGCGACGGGCAGCAGCTGCGGATCGTTCTGCCTGGGGATCAAGATGAAGGGAAAACTGGACACACTTATTTTACTGCAACAAATCTAACATGTTGGCACAACTGTAAATAGAAACAAGCCCTGAAATTTTCTAAGTTCCAAAAGTCAAAAAAAAAAAAAATTCAATTTTTTCTGAGGCATCAGGAATCAGGAGAGATGAAACTCAAAATTTCTGAGCTTTTTTCTATCAACTGTTGACTTTTCAAACTCAAATATTTCCTTGAGCAAATTTCTCACTTCTGGAGCTCAGAAATGTTATTTTTGTAGAAAATATCGGAGTTTTTTGGCTGATATCCCCCCTTCTGTCTACTGCCGCCCTGAGACGCCGTCTTAATATTGCGTTGTGGACGATTTAAACGAGATTTCTAAAACATCTCCAAGTTTTGAAAGTTTCTCTCAAGCTTGAGAAACTACGACAGATTGTTAGTACAGCGGTGCATTAGGGTCGTTGTTGATAGGAAAGAATAAGGATTTTTTTTTTTTATTTCTGCCAAAAGACTGAAATTTTTAGGTTGATCTCAAATTTTCAAAAGAAAATCTGAATTGACAACAAATTGGCATAAATTTACTCTTCTGTTTTTTTTCCAACCCAAAATTTAATATGATCTTTGAGCATTATGAAACATTTATTAAACTGGAGGGGAAAAATTTATTTCTGGAACTTTTATTCTGGTACCAAGCTATAAACTAATCTCACTGTATCATTTAACATCTTTTGTTCACATTTTAGTTACTCCTTGCTAATTGAATTTTAAAGAAGTTTATTTATTATGGTGTATTTTTATTGTGTAACTTTAGTGCCTTCCATAGTATTTGTCTTGTGGATTGCCAAACATGTCCTTGTTTTATTTAGAAACTCATATTGTAGTTTTTATCCGGTTGTTTGATTTACTGATTACATTTAATTAAGTTTGAGACCAATTTGTTATAAATTTCACAAAAATCTGGGATTTAAAAAAAAAGCCTAATTTTATTTTATCAGTTGTAAAAAGTTTGAATGAATTTTAATGCAACATCTGTGTTTAAGTTGGATCAGAGGTAAAACACCCAATCTGTCATGTTGGCAGGTTATTGATGTCACTAAAAAGGGGCTTGGTAATCAGCCTTCTGGCACTTCTATGGGAGAATATTAGTGGAATAATATCCAAGTGGAATAGCTGCCTTTCCATTACCAATATGCACAAAACTTTAATATTCCGCTGGTGTCAAAAAACATTTTGCAGTTGTGGCGTTTCCTTTAAATAAGTTAAAAATGAATTTATGGCGCATCAACATCCTGACACTTCCTGTCTTCTTTCCCACTATCTGGTTATCACACAACTTACAATGCAAAAAGTGTTTCTGTTGTTTTGCAACATTGTAGAAACAGCTGGCAGGTTTCCTATTAAGCAAGTTTATTTTTGTAATTCCAAGTTTGTGGAAACCAGAAAAACCCGAGTTGATTTCCCTCTCCATGACTTCAGTCACTTCACTTACCACTACTTTGCTAGCACACCTTTAGCAGGTGTTACCAATTTCACTGTCACACACAGAGTGTTAAAAGTTAGAAAGGAAATGCAGTATAATTTCAGTAAACTTTAAAACTTACCCTGTCATTTCACACAGTTTATCTCCAACCAGCCAAACTTAGTTGAACGTCAATGTTTTCACTCAATGTCTTTAGAGAAAAGATGTCACACCTTTAAGCACACCTGCTTCCAATAAACAAGACAATTGTTTCTTCATCATGATGCTTTATTGACCAGAGGCCACAGTCAGTCAGGAGGATGGATGAACAAGCCAACAGTTTCTCTCTGGGTTAAATGTTGGAAATCCACTAATAACATCAATACTATTTTCACATCAAAGTTAAAGCATGCAAACATGTGATTAAATGTGACTCTGCTTTTGAGAACTAAGGCTTGGTCCACTCAGTCTTCCAACACGCAGTTATAGTTTCATATCAGAAGACGATGCGGTTTGGTTTGAGCAGGGACTCTGGAGCGTCTTCATTAGAGTGGAGATGAGATCATCTGGTCTGGTTTTGAACCAAAGTGATATAATCAGGCTGGTGTTGACCCTCGGTGTAAGGTTGCATTTGTTTCCACAGCAGCAGCTGTGACTGAGGTCGTACTGTTGACCCAGATATCTGACCATTTCCAGCGAGTTGCAGAGTTTGATATCCAAGCAGCCTTGGGAGGACAGAACATGGCGGAAGCCTTCCCATCCCCAGGAACTGGCGCAGCGATGGTTGGGCGGACACTCCGTGTTGATGACTGAGCAGGGTTCGTTTTTGGGCATCAAAGGGCAGAAATTACAGAAAAGGTTCCCCCAGGTGAAAGCAGGAAAGACCAAAGCAAGAAGCAGGAGGGTAGAGGTCAGATGCCAGGCGGAAACATGGACATCCACTCTGATGGAAAGAAAAGACAAAAACTGTCAGAAAATGAATTGATGTTTTTAAGTATCTTTGTATGAATTGAATTCTTACCTGCTTTTTCTTTGGTACCCCATCTTCCTGTGAGTGATAGCCAACTCCTCCAATCAATTTAAATGTTGGGGTTATCAATCACAAACAGGTGTGTTCAATGAGGATCCTCTGCAGTCCTTCAGTGGGAGTTTTTAAAGACATAAAACACTAATTGGTAAGAAATTCTTCAGAATCTTACACAAATCACTTGCTTTACAAAGTTGAAGGGTACAATTCAACCCAACAATAATTTTTTTTTAAATTATGTAATTTTTACATTTGTTTTTTAAACTATTTACGTCAGTTTCATGTTATTTCAGTGACCAAAGCGGATTCGAAAAAGTGCTTCCGGTAGCCATTAAAACAGCAGACTGTTGCTGCTCTTATTTTGAAATGTAACCGGACGTTCTGTTAAGAGAGGCGGAAAGAGAAGATGCTGCTGATGTTAGACCGGCAAACACAAATTGCCGTTATCATATTAATACGTTTCTGAGATCTGGGTTACAGCTCTAAGCTAGCGAAACTAAAATAACAGTAAAATAAAGTCCGATACCATAACAATAAGCTAGCAATATATATATATTTTTTAAAAAATAGAAAAAGTCGGTTTCCACTACACATATCAGGGCGGCATTGCTAGTATTAGCTGCCATTTTGCCGGTGGACACAAATACAGTATAGTAATATTCTATTCATAAAAAATAAACGTTAATATGTCCATCTTACTTATGAAACTTTATCCCCCGAGATCCCACGTCAATAGTCTGTCGATCTGAACAAAAATATCCGGCAGTGCTGAGGCTTTTTCTAGAGTTTGGTTCAGAAAAAGCCTGAACCAAACTAGAGAGTAGGAGGGACGACCGCTCCAAGATGGCCGCCGTGTTTCCTATTCCGAGCAGCCAATGCGGGATCTACTCATGGCTTCCACCACATCTTACTACTGTTGTTGCGTCGAGCGACCACACTGGGGGATAGTTGGTGTTGCTCCCGGTTTCCCAGTGGAAAATGTGTTCCAGTTGGCTTTTCAGACTGGGCGGTCGGAATTTCCCTGTTCAGACTACAACCGGATGGCAGCATTAAAGTCACTACAAATAAGGGGTAGGAAACAAGAAGACAAAAGGCTTCCAAACCAGATTGCACTTCTTAGTTTATTTATGTAAAACGTTTTTAGTCACTACTTTGACTAAAAACAACAAAAATCTGTTTGGTCCCGTAAGAAAAAAAGGACAAAATCAAAACATTTTGAGGCAAAAATCAAGAATGTGGCGCCATCTGATGGCCAATACAGCACATGGATCAATCCAGCAGCAGCAGGCGGGTTGCATTGTTGTCAGTCAGGCCTTCATTTTCCATCAAAGGAGAGCTGTGAGTCCTTGTACAAAAGTTCCTGCAATGAAAAATAAAATTAAAAGTTGGAGTTAATATGCAAATTATAGATTATTAACAGCATGATGCAACTAATTTAAAAATAAGCCTGTCACAATTAGCAATTAATCCCTTAGTCCCATAATGAATTAAAATACATTTCTGATGATTAATAAATGTTTTGAAGGTTAATTTTATTTACAAAAACATCTTAATCCATTTTATTTACAGTTTTGATTGTAATTGTTTTTTAGTTCTGTTTTATTTTTGATTTTTGGTCGAGTTGTATTGTTTTATTTTGGATTTCAGTGTCACTGTTGTAATGTCTCTAAAGACTTTCCAATTATTCGAGGAACTATTTTTGTCATTCTGTTGTTTTGAACTAAAATCTTAGTAAAAACAGGAACTGTTCTTAAAATTAATTCTCTTTTCATGTTGTTAAATATTTTTTCTCTCAGAAATAATATTTTCTGTGGCATAAAAATAATTTTAAATGAGTTAAAATCAAGTTATGATTGAGTCTGTCGCACTAAGGGCATTTTTATTCACAGACGACATAATCCATGTAAGAAGTTTTTATTAGTGTTTTTAGTTGCAATAATATGTTTTCTTACAGCCTCTTCGTCTTTGTCATAATCTCTCCAGTCTTCCTGGTTTTCTCCGGGGTCGTAGGTGTAAACCGGAATCAGTTGGTGGCGCAGCTCATCCAGTCTGAAGAGGAAACAAAAATGAACACAATGGGATGCAAACCTTTCTAAACCAGTCATTTATTTTAGGCAGAAATCAGACTTATTTACTTTATTAAGATGTTGCTTTTTGTTTATAATTGTCCAGTGTACAGAAGAAACGTTTGACCAAAAAGCATAGCTTTTTAAAATTCAAAATCAGAAAGAATATCTCCATTTTGTGCTTTAAAGTCAATGTCTTGATGCAATCTGCTGAGTTTAACTTCTTAAACTAATTTAATGAGCCAAACTTGATTCATTGTTTGATAACTGGGATCATTACAAGTGATCACATTTTGTACGATTGAATTGAAACAACTCATTTGTAAAATTTGTCAAGATGACTTTTTGCGAATGATGTGAATATACACAGCTCAAAAAAAAAGGGAACACTCAAACAACACAATATAACTCCAAGTAAATCAAACTTCTGTGAAATTAAACTGTCCACTTAGAAAGCAACACTAATTGACAATCAATATCACCTGCTGTTGTGCAAATGGAATAGACAACAGGTGGAAATTATTTTCAGATTTATTTCATTTATTCAGATCTAGGATGTGTTATTTGAGTGTTCCCTTTATTTTTTTGAGCAGTGTATAAATAAACTGAGCTGTGCTGTTCATTTTGATGCAAACAAAATTATTTCCCTTAGAAATGATAAATACATAAAACTTCACTCTTCAAAATTCAGTCGATGGAAGTTTTTGGTATTTAATATTTTGCAAATATTGTCAGTTTTTGTAGAATGGTTGCTCAAAAACTTCTGAGTTTGAAAAAGTAAAAGAAGTATTCGACTTTTGGAAATGTTCTGATTTTCAAAAGTCTGAAATTTTAAATATTTGAAATTCAGAAATTTCAATTTTTTCTAGAAAATTTCTGAGATTTAATCTCAAACTTTCTGTTTTGCAAACAAATTTTAAACTGTTGAAATTTAAATTTTCTGTTTTTTTTAATATCTGATTAATCTGAAAATAAGTTTTTTCTAGAAAAGTTTTGATTATTCAAAGTTAGAAATTTCCTTGATTTTTCTAGACATTTTCTGAGATTATTCTCAACATTTCTGTTTTGTTTTTCTAGCAATTTTTCAACTTTTGAAACTCAGAAATATTTTTTGTAGAATATTTCTGAGATGAGTCTTTTGGTGGAAATGTATTATTTTCTTCTTTCCATCTCCTGTGGTCTGAATACAGTTTAGTATAAATGACTTTTTCAGAAATTCACATGTTTTTTTTTTCATTTTTTTGAAGGCCAACCGTATCTCCCGTTACAGAATGACCTTGTGAAACTTGTACAGCTGTGTTTCTGTCCTCTGTGGTTCAGGTGGGGAACTGTAGTTTGCTTATAACTCTGGCCGGCCTGCTGAGGTGACAGCAGCTTGTTACTGTAAGTGAAGTCAACAACCCGCAGGTGCTTTGCAGGCTCAAGCCGATGTTTTGTTTTGTGTTACAGGATCATGCATGTTGCTGGGCTGGTTGTGGTTTTGCGCACACACATCCAGTCTTGTTAACGATCCCAGACGTCGAGCAGCTGAGCAGTTTGTTTTATTTTGCGTTTCGATCCGGAGTTGTTCCTACTAAATACCCGGATGTCGTGAAGCTTCCTGGAACATCACACTGGTGCTGCTGCCTTGGTAAGAGGCTGACATTCATGACTGAAACAAAGCACCACATCAGATTCGTTTATGCCAGCAGCCTACAAATACTGTAGGTAAACATGTCATCATTTTTATGACTTATTCTCACTTTTTAACTTATTATAATTACAAAAACCTGAGACAGTGACGTAAAGACATCCTGCTCAGTTTTAGTTTCGGTTTGAGTTTCGTTCCTTCATGCAGGGCCGACCAAAGCCTTTTTGGGGCCCTAAGCAGGTTTTCATCTGGGGCCCCTAATACCAACATGCCAGCAACACCAGATGCTTCATAATTCCTAGGCTATGTGTGTAATATGCTGACTAGCATTAACGTAATGTGTCATTAGCATATATAAAGTTAAAACTGATTTCTAACCTTACAGGAGCAGCAAACTAAAAGATTTATTTTGAGATACATAGAGTGGTTTATTATTTTAACAATTTTAATGTGACAAAACTTGACAAACACTAAATTTGTGGAAATTAAATGAACAAGTTTGTTATCTTAAATCTTCAACATATTGACCTATTTTTTTCTGTAACAAGTCTATTAATAATACATTTTACATAATAGCATTTTAGCTGATATTGTTCTGTCTTATGTTAAATATATAATCACTAAGCAGCCGCTTAACTCGCAGACTTTTGTTGTACATCTCATTTACCTTGATCTCCTTTTCAAGTAGAAAACCTGAAAGAGAAATTTGCACAATATCATTTCTGTAGTTATTTTATTTGCTTTAAAGTTTATGAAGTAGTAGACAGACTCTTACCACTGCCACTATGCAGCTACTCATTGCGAGTACAACAAGAGGCAAGAGGGCGAAGTAACTCGGGACTTCAGGTTTTCTGTTTGGAGTCGAGCTGAAGGAGGTCGTTTGGTTCAGATTCATTTCTCTTTTTTTCTTGTTGCTTTTTTAGGAAAGTCTCTGTTGACACATTCGGGTGAAAACTGCTGCAATTCCCAGAAATAAAAGGTTGTCAAGACAAATCCCAGAGTTCATAACTAGTCCTGCAAAGGAGCACACTGTAAAACATAACTCGTTCTCCTTACTTAAAGAATATATAGTCGCATTCCTAAAATAACAGCTAATCAGTTTTGCTCATGTAATCTTTTATTATTATTTTATTATCTTAGGAAGGAAAACTCACCTCAATTGTTTTTAGTTTTCATTAACTAATTGAGTAAAGTTAAACTGCGATGTTGGTGAGTGTAATTTGAGTTGACTAAATAAATCCAAGTCTGTTGTAATTACTTATTTTTTGTATTTGTAAATAAAGCACAAAACTTTCTGATGGAACATTTTAACTAGAAACTACTGAGAAAAATAAAGTTTCTTGAATAAAATGACTTTTTATCTGGTTCTCAAACTTTTACTGAAAAAATAGAAAGTAGTGATATTTTTGCTCATTTTTTCCAGTAAAAGCAAAACACAATCGTGAAATAAGAAGTGGCTTAATTAGCTGCTGCTGTTGGTGGAGCAATGCATTGTGGGATACCTTGCTGCCTTCCACATGACTTCAAAATAACTAAATTCATTTTTAAAACGTGTTCATCTCAAAAAGCCCTCAACTTAAGTCAACTTAATTTATTCCATAAAAGGAAACATTTGCAATTCACTACACTGAATCTTAGCAAGTACTTTTATGTCCAGTTTCTGGTCCAGATATCAGAGTAAATTTGAAATTAGACAAAAATAACTTATAAGTAACGTTTCAGCAAGAAATATGAGCTTGTCTCAAGTAAATGTTTTCTTGATAATGATGGAAAAAGTTTCAGTTCCAGATTATTTAATTAAAACAAGCAGAAAATGGTAAATAATCTGCCAGTGGAACTGATACTAAAAGCAATATCAAGGACTTAAAATAACCTCTGAATTTTTTCTGAAAAGTTACTCATATTTAAGTTTTGTCTCATTTTAAGTGTACTAAGACATACTTGGTAAGGTTTTGTGTTTTTGCAGTGCATACACTCAAAAACATTGAGTTATGTTCATCCATCTGTTCCAGTTGAACATAAAGTTCCGGTTCTCACAGTGTGCGCCGCAGATGATCCCTCAAAGAAGATGACTTGAGAAGAAAACTGCAGACTCACCGTGTTGTGAGCTCCAGCTAGCTGCAGACGCAGTCACCCATCTTCCTCCTTCTCCTCTCCTTCAGTGTTGCTCTCCTCCAGAACCAGACGCTCATTCTGCAACCTGCTCTCCCACATTCCTGAACGAGGAGTGGGACAGAAGCTAAAATTAGCACATTTTAAGGCACGAAACCTCCTTTCGGCATTAAATCCAGACTATTAGTGATGGGTGAAAGTATTTTATAGACTGTAGGATTCAGAAGTTTGAGTTGTTTTGAGTGGAAATGGTGTTCAGTTTTCTCCAGCAGAGGGAAGGTTGTTGAGGATGAGTTGTCCTGAGTGGGTGGAGCGATGGGAGGGCGGAGGTCACTCAGCAGGGAGCAACAGTACAGGTTGGACTCGCTCAGCATGGCTTCAGTCGGGAATTCACCTCTGTCCTTATGCCAGGCCTCTAATCGTAAGTTTTACCTCAAACACAGCCTCTGCTTTGTAAACAATAACTTCTACAGCTCATAAACCGACCAACATTAAACTGTGGTGTCTGTTAAATCTTCTTTTTGACATGTTTTCACTTTAGTTTTGAAGGATCGTTTTTACAGGTTCTGACTGGTTTTTAAGAGTTTCAGGGTTTTTCCAGAACCTCAGCGGCGCGGGTCTGGTGCATTTCCTGCTAGGATTTGAAATCTTGTTAATGATTAGAGCAACATAAACCTCCAGGTTGTCTGCAAAGCCACTCATAAAATGGCTCTTATCTTTTCTGACTGTAAAAACAAAATCTCACCAAGGTTTTGCTCTTTTAGTGCAACTTTCTTAGTTCACTTGAAATAAGAAATGTGTCTTAAAAGTAACTTGTCAGAAAAATACAGACGCTTGTTATGGGGTAAATACTTCCTGAATGTTGGTTAAACATTACTAGTCCACTGGCAGATTATTTAACTTATAACAAAAGAAAATAATCTGCTGGTTGAACTGAAACGTTTTTCTTAATATTAAGGAATTATTGACTTAAAAACAAGCTCATATTTCTTGCTGAAAAGTCACTTCTTAGTTAATTCTTGTGTATTAACAGGAACCAGACGTAAAATAGTTGGTGAGATTTAATGTTTTTACAGTGCTGCAATACGTTTCCACCTTTGATGTACACTGCAAAAACACAAAATGTGACCAAGTATTTTAGATCTTATGTAATTGTGTTAATACACTAAAATTATCTCAAAGGAAACTTGCAAACAACGTTTTTAAGTCAATTTTTGGTAGATTATTTCATTTATAAGATGGTAAAATTATTATAAGTTAAATAATCTGCTAGTAGTACTAATAGTATTTTTATAGTTTTTGTGACTTATTTACTTAAAATGAGCTAAAAAGTGTAAGTTACTTTATTCCTTATTAAGATATTTGACCTAGAAAGTGGACCAAAAAATACTTTGGTGTGATTTTGTGTTTTTGCAGTGTAATTCACTCCGATTTATTTTGTCTTGTCTTTTAGCTCCTCATCTTGTTCTGTAATGAAGTGAGAACCAGCAGAGAAACTCAAACCCCATCAGCCAAAGCCTAAAAAACAAAAATCCTATGGATTTCATGTCAGACGATCCAAGTCCTTTGAGGGACGACTTAGCGAATGATTATGAATCCATTCATGGAGTCGAGGCTCTTCAACCCCAGTATGAGACGACGATGCCTGGAGTCGCAGGAAACCCCAACCAGCAGACCCGGGTCAACGCACCACCTTCAGCTCCACCAAGACCTCGGCTTCTGAGCATCCCCACTGGGGCGCGGCGCGAACCGCCTCCTCTGCCTCCACGCAACCCGCCTCCTGTAGGCGGCAGCAGAAATCAGTTTCCCTTCGCTAATGACCGCAGCACTCCTCCACTGACGCGATCCAACACAGAAGTGCACAGCTATGTGAGTATCCCTCAGGAATCCACTGCAACTTTTATTTTGAAATTGTTTTTATGCAAATTTGATAAAAGTTTTTTCTGAGCAAAGCTCAAGTAGTAACTACTTTACTCAATTACATTTGCACTTTTTGTTAAGCTGTACTTTCTACTTGAGTAAAAAGTAATTTTATCTCTCTACTCTCATCAGGGTAAAATTGCTGAATTTTCTGCCCACTGAATGAATTATTAACGTTTTAACCAAACACAGACACACCTGCAGTTTTTCTTTAAGTTTCATAAGTTTTTTATTGAAAGAAACTAATATGGGAAAAAATATTCTGCTTGATTTTGATATTTATATGAATTGTTGTCATGAGGAATTTCTTGGATACTTCTTTTCACTTTCAATATGTTGAAATGGTGCGACTCTTAGTTGAGTAAAACCTTTGGGTACTTTACCCGCCTCCTACTGCTGCCTGAAGAAATTCACCTCTCCCACTTTATTTAAAAGTTACAAACTGCAGCTGTAAATGTGGGGAGAGAAAAAATAACTTCTTCACATGTAGGATCCCTGGGCTATCCGGCTGATCGACTCTCCACAAGGCAGCACAGGTGATCTGGCTTCTTTCAGCAACGCAGCAGCTCAGTAAGACATGAAACACGTTTCTCATCCCTGCAGCTTTTGTGGCTTCCTGCTGTTCTTCACGCCTCAAAAACACAAAATCTCACCGAATGTTTTTGTCTAGATTTCACTGCAAATGTCACATTTCAATTAAGACAAAACTAACTTAAAAGTAACCTTTCAGCAACATACAAAAGAGGTTGTTTTTTATCAATAATTCCTTAATATTGATGTAAAACTATATATTATTTCACATATAACATGGGAATTAGGTTTTGTTATAAGTTAATTGGAAAAATACAAAATCTTACCAAATCTTTACACTTGAAATAAACTAATTTATGAGTAGCTATTCAGCAATAAGAGCTTTTTTAAAGTAAGAGGCAGACTTTCATTTAAAACAAGACATTTTTCCCGTTATAAGTTAATTAATCTGCCGGTGGAACCAGAACGTTTTATTAAAACTAACTCCTTTATAACTCTTTTCTTGCTGAAAAGTTATGCTTAAGTTAGTTTAATATTATTTCAAGTGTATTAATATGTTTCCTCTAGAAACCAATACTTTATTAGATTTTATGTTTTTCCAGAGAGAAGTAATCTGTCAGTGGAATCAGTACTTTCTCATCAATCTTAAGAAATGATTGAATCAAAACAAACTCGTCTTATTTAGACATTTGCTCTGCTCATCATTTCTTCAGACGGTGTTTTGTTTGGCTCCTCCAACAGGTTGATGTCGCGATACCAACACAGCGACAGGATTCACAACCCGGGCGTAGTTTGGGGCCGACTGTTACACATCCACCCCGCGCTGCTGCAGCAGGAGGTGAAAGTCACTATATCTGAGAACGACACCATCAAGTTTCCCATTCCCACGCCAAGTAAGATCCCTGCCAACCGTTATTTTACCAACCGACTGGTTCTGATGATTATTCCTGTAAAAAAAAATCTGAGCATTCTGTGGATTTTTCATTACATTAAAAACACACAAATAATTAACTGTGAGCAAGCGAGCTGCACGAAGCTGAAGTTGGCTTTTGATTTGATTTGAAATGGCTAAAGGGCGATTCCACTTCATTTTTCACTGCCTTCTGCATCTCTAATCAACTCTAGTTTAAAAACTAAAACACCTGGACTGGATTATTCTCAACTAATAGCAGAATATTTGGAACCATGTTTGTGATTTGTGAAACTTCAATAAAGGTTGATTTTTACCACTTTTTTTGCATCTGGATCACACTGGAACTGCTGCAGCTCCAAAACTGCAACACCTGGACTGGATTATTCTCAACTAATAGCAGAATATTCATTGCAGTTTCACAAACATGGTTCTAAATATTCTGCTTTTACAGCAGAATAATCCAGTCCAGGTTTGAAGAGTTTGGGTGTTGTAGTTAATTAAGACAGACTTAAAAACACAGTTTGTCCGTTGTGTAACCTTTACTTTATGTTTCAATCAGTGAACAAGAAGGTGAAGGACCTAATAGATGAATACTTCAAGTTGCTTGACCGCACCGCTGACACGAGCAAGGATTATGTCTTAAAATTTTGTGACTCTGAGGATTTCCTCACAAAGTGAGTCTGTCACTGCTTTCTGTTCATGTCAACAACGTAGATTTTTTTTCGCAGACATGCAGTTAAATTGAGCTTTTCTTTGTAGTGAAGAACGTCTTGGCTTGCATGAGAGAGTTCAGATGTATTGCAAGACAAAAGAGGCGATCAACCTCCGACTGGTTCGAGTAAATAATCTGAATCGCCATCTTGCCAGAGATGTGAGTCAATTTAAACTCCAAATGATTTACCATCCAGGGTTGGTCTTATCTTTAACCTTCACATCCTGCTCTTGCAAACACAGAGAGGTTTTTAAATGTGGCTGTAAAAACCTCCACCCTGATTATGTGCATTTATAAATGCTGGTATTTAAGATCCAGGAAGAACTGAATGAATGAGAAAGCGTGAGGTTTTATTCTGCATAAGCAAAATTCACTTCATTTTTTCTTCATTTATTTCAAACAAGTTTTGAAACTTTAAACAAATAACTTATAATGCATAAGCAAAATTATTACAAACTGACTCTCATAACAAAGCAAGAAAATCTACAGACCCAAAATAATAATAATATTAGTAATAATGACAATTATAAATACACAACGTCAGAATAATTAACAACTTCTTTCCAATGTACACCTTTGAATTCTTCAACTTAACTATTTAAATCTGTTTTCTCAGGCTGCAGATGGGAAAACTGGATGCAATTTGCACCAGTTCCTGCGGCCAGTCAGCGTCCACTGCACCGCAAAGTGAGACAACAACGTTTCACATTTCTCGTTTGTTTTCGTCACGTGTCGCTCGAGTCAGCCGCTGTTTGCAGCAACCAGGCTGACGTCTGCGTGTGTTTTATCGTTCCTCAGGCTGAGCTTGGAGAATGTGCTCAGTGCCTTCAACAAACATGTGAACGAACTCATGAGCTCAAAGGTATGAGGAAAGAACCAGGCTGGTCTTTATGGCCTCCATTCAAAACGTCACTTTGTAACGTTTGGAGTCTTTTTGTGTCTGCAGTGCAGTAAGAATATCCCTCTGGTTGTGACTAATGTTCGCGTCATCAGTAATCTTCTATCTGGGCTGACGTGTCAGGAGCTAGAGGATGCCATTGGTGCCCTTAATCGAATCAGTCATGTGCATATGGTAGGTGTTTGCTACACATTTGGCAGTATTATGTTGAGAGTTGAGATGAAGGATGCTGCTTAAAACAGAAAACCTGCTAGGCCTCATTTTCTGTGAGCAGTGCTACAGGAGTCAGCCCAAATATTACACTATTTTCATCTATTTGCTTTGTAAAAACTTCCAATGCAACCAAACAATGATGTGGTTTACACTTTAGAAACCACTTTATTCCTTGGTTTCCTTCAGTTGCAGGTCTGATCTGAGAGATAAACCAAAAATTAACTCACACCGAAATTTCTGATGATGAGCAACGTCATTTTGACCTGGTTGGTGCTTTAGGTGTTTTTAAAAATTGAAATAAAAGTTTGTTTTTGGCTGCACATTACGAAGGCCAGTTCAGAACAAATGGGGAATAAATTTCCACTAATTTATTAATCTCAGAAATGTTCTGGTGAAAATTGGAAATTTCTGAGAAAATGCTAGAAAATTTTAAGATTGATTTCAGAAAATTTCTAGAAAAAATCTGAAATCTTCTTTATGACTTTTGAAAGAAATAAAATTTTCAATGTCAGATTTTTGACTCTTAAAAGTGAAAAAATGTTTCTACAGCAGACAGACAAGAAAGCCAGAGATTATTACGATTAATCTCAGAAAGTTTTAGAGTTGAAATTAGAACGTTGAAAAACTTTGTGTTGGTTGTGAAAACACAACAGAGTATTTACCATTAAAGCTCATAGTTGCATTATGACATCATTAATCGCCTGTGCATAGTTACAGCACATATTTCTCTTTACAGAACGACGATCAAATGATGGAGTGTGAAGCTGGTGAGTCTCTACAGAGGATTTTCTGTCTGTATGTGAATGAAAAGACATTTATTTGAGGAGCTGAACTCCCCAAAAAACACCAGTCTGATTCTGTCAATTCTCCATTTGGTCTTATTACCTGCAGCTTTTGTTAAATGTTCATATTGGAAGAAATTGATTTGGGAAAATGATTCATTTGCCTGATTTTATTACTTTGTAATTATGTTATATGAATTTTGGTCATTAAAATAATATCTTTTCTGCATAACTTTACATTTTGGCTCATCTAATGATGTAATTTTTAAATATTAAATAAATTATGTTTTGCTCAGTTACTCTACTTGAGCAACCTTTTTACCAAATACTCTTTTATTCTAGAGTCATTTCTTGGGTGGCTTCTTTTTACTTTAACTTGAGTAAAAATATGTTGAAGTAATGCTACTCTTACTTGAGAACAATTTTTGGGTACTCTACCCACTTTTGCACAAAAATATGATGAACCAGACATTTGTAAATCACTGGTTCTAAATAAATTAACGCAGAAATGATTGATTAGATGCACAAAACAATATAGCAGTGATAGTTGAAGGTTCTTTTCTGACATTGATTGAAAATTAAAACGTGTTTTAGTGAAGTTGTTTGAAGTTTTGACTCGTCCTGTTTCTGATTTCAGCCTTGATCATGCTCAACGGGGCTCTGCTCAAAGTGCTGCAGATATATTTTGATAACTTCCAGTCAGACTTCAGATCCCACAAACTTATCGGCACGCCCCAAACCGATGACGTCGATAAGAATCCGGATATATTGCAGTTCAGCATCGTTTCCATCTACAAACTAAACCCGAGCTGGATGAGGTTTGTGCACGCTCGCTTATTCTTCTTCATCCATCCAGAACAGAAACTAATGAGGCACACGTCTATTTTTATCACCTTTTGACAATTACAGTAATTATGAAAGTTTCTCTGTTTCCTGCGACTTGACATACGGAGAAAACAAGATCTGTGAGACCGGCGTTTCGGAGAACATCAGCACGGCGTTCTCACAAGGAAACAACATCTGCTGTAACCGCCTGTAAGGGCCGGAGCTCCTAATGATTTCAGTGATTATTTTATCATTTAAATGTATAATCTGAAAGATGAAAAACACCCAGAAGGCTGCGTGTTGTGTTTAAATTTCAGGATGGTGTTTCCTGTTCCAGTGAGTGAGTTGCCATATGAGTGCATGCTGACATTTCGCCTTAAAGGCACAAAGCGAGGGAAAAACCCAGAACCTTTAAGCTGGGCTGTTCTGCCCCTGTACAGCGACAGGTAGGTTTACGGATCATGAAGAGTCATTCAGCAAAATGTGTATCTACTTGTAAAACTTTAATGTTTTGCTCATTTTCTCATTGTTCTGATGAGGCAGAGGGATAGTGTGATAACTCGCCTCCTCCGTCAGTTGACAGAAATCTCCATCTTAGAGAAGAGATATGCTTCACCCCGTTGCTGGGGGTGACCTTGTCTTCTAAGGGCTGTGATTGGTTGATAGAATAAGACACAAAAATACTAAATTGGATGAGTTGGCAGAAATGAACTGATCTTAACAGCTAATTCAGTAGCCCTTTGTTTTTGTTTACAGAGACTTCATAGTTCATTTTATTTGTTTTTTTGTTGTTGTTTTGTTATTGTGATTGTAGATTGTTCTGTTTACTCTGTGTCTGTTCAGGTCTTTTGTAAGAGGAGCCGTCCTGCTCAGCATGTCGTCTCTTCCTGAGCCGCCGTTCCCTCCGTCTCCTGCCCTGTCCGACAGCCACAGGCAGCCCAAAGGAGTCATCCTGCAGGCGAGCAACACAAACCTCACTCTGACTAAATACGGAGGAGGATAAGGGCCACTCAGTTTTTCTGAATTTTGACTTATTTGTCAAAATTTTGGCTTTTTATAAAAAGTCATAATTTTGACTTTAATCTCAGAATTCTGACTTTTTACCTCTGAGATTAAAGTCAGAGCTTTGGGGGCGATGGAGCCAAAATTATGAGTAAAACATCAGATTTTTTTCAGTGGCCCTAATCTTTACCTGTAAATAGATGATCAAAATACCTCCTCACATATTAGTCTGGTTTTACAGCTTGAATTTGACGAGCAGTATGTGTGGAAATACTGCAGACCCATTGCTCTTCCCGGGTTAATCAACTTTACTCGTCCTTGTGATGAAGTGCAAAGGAAATTATCAGAGATCTCCAAAATGCATTGCCTCTCCTTGTGAGTAGGAGTATCAGGAATTTAGGTTGTTTTTTGTTATTTTTACATAAACCCTTCATAGATTTCTCTTTGCATTTCCAGCCTGACAAAAGATCAGAAGTCTTTCCTGTGGGACAAACATTCCTGCAGCGACAAAGGAAGCACGTTCCTCCACCTCCTTCTCGGCGGCGTCCCCCGGTGGCAGCCTGAGGACTTGACGGAAATCTACACAGTGGTGGAGAACTGGCCCATCCATCTGCCAGAAGAGGCTCTCTTCCTGCTGACGCCCAGGTAAACAGAAACATGATGACTTCACAGAATATGCATAAAATGTCATGTTTCCTGCCTCGGCTGATTTTTAATGCTGAAGACTCGGGCAATGTGAGCGAGTCGCTCACCTGCTGTTGTTCTGGGGTTGAAACACACATTTCTCAAAACATGATTCATCGGTATAATCATTTGTATCAATTATTGCAATAACTGCCAACTAATTTAGTAATTGATTAATTGTTAACTTGAGTATGTAGATTAAAAAAGAGATAATTCGCTGAAAGAATAACATATCCGTAGCAGTAATTTAGCCAAAACTGTATAAAAATGTATAAGTTTTGCATTTACGATAAAAATACTTGTCTGTGAAATATGTTTCAGTCAAAACTTCAAATTTAAGAAAAACTGTATCTGAGGATGAACCAAACTCGTGGAGGTTTCCAGATTTTCTCCTGATATCATTGCAGAATTTTATTAATGTAATAAAACAATAATAAACGTGTTTTCATTCAAGCCGATCTATTTAACTTGGATGATCTGAAATTATCTTTAAGCTTTTAAAGTCATAAAATCGTCTCCCGGGTTTCCACAAACAGTTTACTGCGATGCAAAAACACAAAATATTACCAAGTATGTTTGGTCTAGTTTCTGAAAATTAGACAAACTAACTTACAAGTAACTTTTCTGAAAGATACAGGAGCTCGTTTTAAGTAAATAATTCTCTAATATTGATGAAAAAGTTCTAGTTCCATTGGCAGATTATTTCACTTATAACAAGTCTTTCCCCCCAGATGATAAATTAAATAATCTGCCAGTGGATCTTGTACTTTTGAACAATATCAAGGAATTATTAACTTAAAACGCTGGTTACGTTTTGTAACCCCAGACTCTACCTGGTATCTGATATCTTACTGAGAAGTTACTTTTACGTTATTGTAGTTTTATTTTCACTAGAAACTAGAAGAAGTAAAGTCTCTCTCAATATCCTGGCGTTCAGCTCATAAGTAACTTGCTTCTTAAAACTTCTCCTTCAGTTTCCCAGATGAGACGGTCCGAAAAGCCGCGGTAGATTATTTTGCTCAGATTCCAGATGGAGAGCTGGAGTTGTTTCTGCCACAGCTGGTCCAGGTGAGGAAAGTAACACAGAACTTTGTTCACAGAAGGTTTTCAGATATTGATAACTGAATAACCTTTTTGTTCTGTTTTTTTTTTTTTCTTAAAGGCTCTGAAGAGCGAACGGAAACTTGACGGGCCTCTGGTGACGCTGCTGCTGGACCGATCCCTGAAGAACGTACGGATTGCTCATCAGCTATACTGGTCAGTCGGACTTTCAACTGGGAGCACAAGGACTTGTGTGTTAAATTAAAATAAGATTTTTTCTAACTATATGACATATTTCATTACAGCAGCTGTGCACCGGTTGTGCCTGATAAAAAATTATACAGGAATTAAAATATCACACTGTTCAGATTAAGGAAACGATAAACCAACAGAACATGCACTGAAAAACATCAAATGTTTGGTCTGGTTTCCAGTGCAAATATCTTATTAACCATTAAATAAAACAACACAAACTTACAAGTAACTTTTCAGAAAGACATAGGCATTGTTTTCAGCCAATAATTCTTTAATGTAGATGATAAATAACATGGGGGAAAATGTGTTGTCATAAGTTACAACTCTTGGTGGATCTAGTACATTTTTTTAAAAATTGCTGAAAACAAGCTCTTATATCCTCCCAAAAAGGTACTTGTACATTAATAATAAAATATTTGCAATGGAAACTAGACCAAAAATTGTAATCAACCCCTTATTGGCCAAAAAGTGTCACTGATGACACATTTTTGCCGTCCAACTTTGCGTTACAGTAATTCTGTGATGTTTTGCACTATCTGAAAAATCCCCACGGTTTCTGAAAGGGAGACGTTTCGCTTTCCAGCCAGTGTTGGGTTATTACGGTAATTTCACTCCCACCGTTGCAGGAGGGAGTTCAGTTTAATCTGATGAAACACTTTTTAATAGATGGTAAATTGTAAATAACTGCTGGATATTGAAAGTTTCAGTTTCAATGGAGAAAAAATATTTAGTCACAGACCATTTAAAGAACTTTGTACAATTAAAATAACCAGGTGGAGATTTGAGACTTGGCCTTGAAGGGTTAATCTAAATATTTTAGGTATTTATATGTCTGTTGTTCACGTGTTTATGGTTTAAATATCCCGGCAGGCTGCTGGAGGACAGCCACACTGACCGCTACTTCCAAAGCTGGCTGAGTAAAGTGCAGGCTGCCTTGAGGCACTGCTGTGGCCGAGCACTGAGGACGGAGCTGGATCATGAATCCCGTCTGGTGCAAGTCCTGGTTCAGGTGGCCCAAAAAATTTACTCTGCCGACAAGGCTCAACGTAAGGTTTGTAAAACCATATAAAGTTGCCTTTTATCAGAGTAGTGAAATAGTTGCCAATGCATTTTCTTTGGTTTGACATTTTTGCACCATTTGATTCTTTTTGCAGAATGTTTTGAACAGAGAAAAGGGAGTTATTGATGAGTTTTTCAAAAGTGGCATCAGCTGCCGTCTGCCTCTAGACCCTGCAGTCAGCGTAAAAGCTGTCAATGTGGATGTAAGCATGCACACGTCACTGCAAAAACACAACATCCAACCAAGAGTCGAGTTTCTAGCCTGAATATCTTGGCACATTTGACATCAGAGAAAATTAAAGTAACTTTTTAGCGAGATACAAGCGCTTGTTTTAAGTAAATAATGCCATAAAACTATTTCTTAAACAGTACTAGTTCCACTGGCAAATTATTTCACTTAAAACAAAACTTTTTCCATCTATAGCTAGTCATTTTTCTTTTACCCAATATTAAGGAATTATAAGTTCCTATATCTTGTTGAAAACTTACTTATTTAATTTTGCACAATTTCAACTGTTTTGAGATTTTTGCTCTAGAAACTAGACCAAAAATCCTTGGTAGGATTTAGTGTTTTTGCAGTATTCCACTTGATGTCGGTCAGTATCTGCAGGGTTTTGCTGTAGTTTTTACTCCTCTGTGCTTTTTTTGCAGGCATGTAAGTTCTACAGCTCCAACACTGCTCCTCTGGGGGTGACATTCATTTGTGAAGACTCTCTGGCCAAAACCGCCAGTGTCATTTGCAAGGTTAGTGACAATCATCAACAAACTGCTTGTTGATATCTCTGATGGTTTTTGCCTAATTTCTATTTCATTTTTCTCACTTAGAGTGAAATTGAGACCGCAGTGTCTTTAAAAAGATTCAGTTAAACACTCAGACTCAGTAATTTACAAAAAAATGTATTTTCAGGAAAAGCGCCTTTCTTTGGTGCAGATTTTGCATTTTTTCATCAAATCTTTTCAGTGCACAAACATGTCTGCCATTTGACGCTGGTGTATTTTGTGTCTGGCTGTTTAACAAGATCACAACTTCTAATAATGGCATAAAACAAGTTGAATTTAGCAGTTTGTCCCTGATTAAAACTGTTTTTCTAGGTTACCTTTTGCTTACCTGATATTTCTTCTTATACATTTAATAAATGTTTTACCAACCTGAACTTTGTCGCTCCAAGTGTTTAAAAAAAGAAAAACACCCAACCAGTTAGACTTTCACAATACGACTTTCAGACGGGGGAAGACCTGCGTCAGGAAATGCTGATTCTTCAGATAATCCGTGTGATGGACTGGGTTTGGCTCCAGGAGGGGCTGGACCTGCAGATGATCACGTTTCGGTGTGTTTCTACCGGCAAAGCTCAGGGTAAAGGATCCTCATTGGCTTATTATTCCATGTTCTCTGAGATCGTCCTTACTTACATCGCTTGTGGTGATCAGGTCTGGTGGAAGTTGTACCAGATGCCGTGACGCTGCGAAAGATCCACCAGGAGTGGGGTCTGGGTGGGACGATCCGAGTCGACACGCTGGAGAAATGGTTCCACATGTTGAACAGAACTAAAGAAGGCTACGAAAAGGTTGAGCCTTCAGGCAATGTGGATGTTTGACTGTTGGGTATTTCTCTTGTCATTTTGTATCAACCTTCTGCTGTGCATCTGCAGGCGGTGACAAATTTCATCTATTCCTGTGCGGGTTGGTGCGTAGCCACCTTCATCCTGGGGATCTGTGATCGCCACAATGACAACATCATGCTGAAGCAGAGCGGACACATGTTCCACATTGACTTTGGCAAAATCATGGGAAACGCACAGAAGTTTGCAAATATATCTAGGCAAGTTGGTGGAAAAGGGAATGTAGTGGGGATAATCAGGGCCGGATCTAGAATGATAAGGGCCCCTGGATAGAGCCAGTGTTGGTGCCCTGAACAAACAAACAGAAAAAAATAAGCTTTGTACCCATTAATAGATATGCCTACACATCAGCAGACCTGACAGCTCCATGTTGGTACCAAAAACATGTAACGTCAGAATTTAAAACAGAGTATTGTACAAAGAGATTATTTATTTGTAAACACACCAATATGCGCACAACTTGACTTCAGAAAGAGCCTGCAAACTCACCTTTAAGCTGCTACTGGTTGCCTTCGTTACATCATGCAGCTTGTTGTCACAGAACTACAATTGTTTATCAAAGTGTGGCAAAATACGCTGTCCAAACAACATTCAGTTTTGTTCTTACTAATAGTAGCTCTGAACAAGAACCAAACATGGAGAACCAACAAACATTTAGCTTCATGCTTCGCCAGGTGATGTTCGTTGGCTGCAACTTCTAAATCATTTTGTTGGCCTAATTATAAATACTTTAAATAATTAGAGTAATGTATTCTTGCTTACTTTCTGGAGGCGACATGTGCAGTACACTGATAATCCCTCTATTTGTAACAACATTAAAACTCCACACTTTACATGAGTTTTATATAAACTATAATGTTTGTTAATATGCAGTTATTGCACAAACACCCTGTGTAAGGTCCGGCCCAAAGGTTAATAATTATAAAACAAAAGAAAACAATACAGAAACATAATAAATCTGCAAAATCCTTTTCTCACATGACATCAGGGACAGAAAGCCCTTCGTTTTCACGTCCGAGATGCAGCACTTCATCACAGGCGGCGGAGAGAAACCTCAGCGCTTGCATCACTTTGTGGAGCTCTGCTGCGAAGCTTATAACATCATCAGAAGCCGCTCTGCCCTGATACTCAGCATGTTGGAGCTGGTAAGACCTTTCGAATCAAACACACAAGCGTCTTCATCTGTCTGAGAGCACCTGAACCTTAAAAATGTGGATTTTCCCAGCTGCTTTCTGCCGAACTCCCAGAACTGAAGGACTTCAATGACTTGCAGTTCGTCCTGAACAACCTGAGACCTCATGACACCGACCTAGAAGCCACTTCCTTCTTTACCAGGTAACTTCACACATAATCCCAGGACGTATATTTTGTCTGCGGTTGTGCTGATCAAGTGATGAACTCTGCTGTAGAAAAATCAAGGAGAGTATGGACTGTGTGGCTGTCAAGTTTAACTTCTTCACCCACACAATGGTTCAGCCAAAGAAGCAAAACACAATACGCCGGCACAGCTTTCCCGCAACCAACACCAACATCCAGAAAGCCGTCATCCAGGACTTTTCTGTCAAGGGACGAGTTGTGGTGAGGTCAAATTTTGGTTGTTTTGCGTTCTTAGCAATAAAACGTCGCTTTGTGTTGCATCCTGACGGCCCAGGAAAAAAAGAACAGTAAATTTTGACCCCCAAAAAATGTAAAAATTTTAGGCTTGATCTGGAGATTTTTCTAGAAATCCTCCAAAAGTTGAACATTTGTGAGGAAAAAGCTCAGGAATGTTCAGATTCATCTGAGAAATTTTCTAAAACGAAACATGGAAATGTCTGAGTTTGAAAAGTCAAAAACGTTAATTAAATCAGAAATTTTCCAGAAAAAAAATCTTTGATTTGAAGTGCAGATTTTTTTTTCTGACAAATTTCTCAGATTAATTGCAAAACGTCAGATTTGTTTGACAGAAATGTACTCCTCTTTTTGTATCTTGTGGCCCTAATTTGCTGTTGCAGGATTATCCCCGCTCATTGTCAAGTGACGGCTTCCATGTTTGCTGTAGAAACTTTTTCTGAACTTTGAGTTCATAAAGCCTGTTTTTCTGGTGTACAGAGGAGTGATACTGGTATCTGGGGGTGTTTTGCTGCTCTTTGATCAGAAGAGGTTTTCTTATGACAGGTTTAGTCCTTTGAAGGCTCAGAGATTTGCCTGCTTCCTTCACAAGAACATTTACACAAAAACATCAGTTGGTAATATTTTAATCCTGTCAACCTGTCTGTCTGCAGCAGGTTATACTAAATCTCTACTGTTTTTGTGTGACTGTGTGTGATTTGCAGACTTACAACCTCAGAATAACATTTGATGATGGAGTTTTGACGAGTCAGAAGACATTCAGGGAGCTTGAGCTGATCCACAATAAGCTCCAGACTTACTTCATTGAATCCAAGCTGCCGCAGTGAGTAAAAGACAAACTATGCTGCAAAGATACAAAATACTTTTGTCTGGTTTCTAATGCAGATTTCTTAGTTTTTTTCCTCATTTCAAGTTTACTAACTTACAAGTGACTTTTGATGAAGATATAATTCCTTAATACTGATTTAAAAAAAGTCCTAGTTCATCAGATTTTATTTTAAGTGAAATAGTCTGCCAGTATAAATGGTACCTTTTCTTCAATACAATTGAATTAAGGACTTAAAAGAAGCTCCTATGTCTTGTTGAAAAGTTACTTCTCTTATTTCAAGATATTTGCAATAGAAACTGGACCAATAATATGTGGTAAGATTTTGTCCACTTTTTGTTTTGACTTTTGTATTCATTAACATTTATAACCTGAACCTTTTTATCTCATTAAGGTTTCCAAGCTGGTATCAAATGTCGTTTACCCCACAGAAGAGGAAGGCTCTGCTGAATACTTACTTAAAACAGCTCTTTGAGGGGCCGTGCAAGGGAGTAAGTGTCTAATCCAGTCTCAGGAGGGTTATTCATAATCCTCCCAAATCGCTAATTCTTACTTTGAAATGTCTCGTTGTGTCATCTGCAGGATGAATATGTGTGCAGCTTGTTTCTAGATGGTCCCAATCCCAAAACAAATGTGGGAACAGGTAATATCAAATTGGATCTATTATCCAAAATTTACATTTTTTATATTTTTATACTTCCATTTGGTTTTCTACTACGTTTAAAATCAACACAAGTTCTAAAAAACACCCCTGACATTTTGTAGTGGTAAGTTAATGCTTTGTGGTGTCCCTGTAACGTCACAAATCAGTCCACTTAGCAACTAAGAGAACTTCCAGCACATTTGGTCAGCTGGTTTGACTACTGTATGCACTGTACAATGGCTGCTGGAGAAGTGTTTTGTTGTTCACGTATTATCCAGAAACCACTTGCTACATTCTTGTTAGTTGTGCAGGAGTCTCCACTTCTGCTTTTCAAAGATATACGGTTGTGTAATTGGGGGGAAAAAATGAACATGTTTTGTTTTAGACCCATCATAACCTCTTTAAGAAAACCTGTCACTTTACAGCATAACTGGAGACTGAAGGAGAGAGGTCTGATGTAAGCTCTGTGTGTTGCAGGAGGCCGTCCTCAGATCCAGCTGCGTATATCGTACTCAGACTGCAAGCTCTCTGTGTTGGTGAAACACCTGCAGAACATCGTCAGTTTGCATCATTCTTTGAACAAAGTTGTGTGTTCTGATGAAATATAGTAAAACAGGCTCTAATGGGTTCTCTGTTGTTGTGCTGTTTTACAGAAGTTGCCAAATGGTTCAAACCCTGATGCCTATGTGGTGACGCGGTTGAGACCAGACCCTACGCAGACCTCTAAGAGGAAGACGAAGGTGGTCAGCAACAACGACCACCCGACTTTCAATGAGCTGGTAAATTTCACCCTTTATAGCACACTGTAGCCTGATTTCACTTGGAAAAGATCAAGATGGCAGTGAGAAATACTCATTAAGATGACCGAAGTCCTGACCAAAGTCACATGGTGTGACTTAAAGTCCATCCAAGTCATGAAAATGGGTGACATGTTATGGCAATAATTGGTTTATAAGGGTAAAAAAAACATCTTGAAAAAATGTCAGTCATCCTGAATTTCAAGTGGTTAATTGGACAGACGAGGATGCTAAAAAATTTGCATGTTGAGGATGCTAAAAAATTAGCATGTTGAGGATGCTAAAAAATTAGCAGGTTGAGGATGCTCATTTTTATGTTTGTAACCAGCCATGAAATATTTTTACAGTAATATTCTGAACTACAAGGTTGTTTAGTATGTAAACCCCTTGCTAATTTAAGTGTATTAAACAAAACAACCTTTATATGAACAAATCTGCCTCATTCTCACAGCTGGAGTACAACTTTATCACGCTCCTGGATGGGATTTTGCTGAAGGTGACGGTGAAGAGCAGAAAGGCCAAGAAGACATTTGTAGCTGCAACCAGTATTAAACTGGAAGAAGAACTGCTGGACAAGGAGCTCTGGTTTCCCCTTGGGAACTGTGTAATCTGAGGACTGCACTGTGAGCCTGCCGCCAGCAGGGGGTGCCAACACACTTACTGTATTATATGTTTTATTCTAATGTAGGCAGGGGAATACAGAACACTGTCCACTAAGAAACTTTATAAATTATATTTCTCTACAAAAGCTATGTTAACCTACCTCCAGAATTTAAAGCACTGACTGGCTGGGATTTTTGGCTTAAGTTATGTGAAAAATGCATGTTTATAGTTAAATAAACCAAATCAGCTTTTAAAAAATTAAATTAGATCAAATTAATATCATAGAAATAATTTATGAAGGAAAGGATTTACTGCCCATATTTTCCTCTCGACCTCAAAGCCACAGAACTTCAAAATAACATCATGTTTTTTTTTCAGTGAAAATAAACCAGTTTTATTTCTGTACTCTTAAAATTACAACAGATACTAAATATAATTAACAAACTGAGTGCAGAGAAAGCTGTAATAATTTAACAGTTTGTCAATATGTAGTTCTATTAATACATTCAAGGTCTCCAAACCGGACCTCTGAAGACGGTTAGGGCCACTAGAAGGAAAAAAGACATTTAATCTCAGAACTTTGACTTTGGATCTCAGTAGATTAAAGTCAGAATTGGGATTCAAGAGAGAACTGACATCAATTTGAGAATTCAGATTTTTTTCCTCAAAATTCTGACGTTTTTCTCTCTGATTTCTGACTTTGGATTTCAGAAGATTAAAGTCAGAACTTTGACAGTAATCTCAGAATTCTGACAATTTCTTTCTCAGAATTTGGAATTTGGAAAAGATTAGTCAAAATTCCAAGATTAAGTTCAGAATTCCGAGATTAAAGTCAGATTTTCTTCTTGTTGTTTTCTTGTTTCAGTGACCCTCAGCCTCTTCCAAAGAGGGGACATTTATAATCTGGATGTTGCCCTCAATGAAAATGAATCTGCCATCCCCAGCATCCTGCTTCTGCTTGTGGTCTAGTTTTTTTGTTTTGTTTTTTTGAATCAGTGAGTCAAACTAGAGACTTTATGTGTTTTATGTGACAGATTAAGAGTGAAGGGATGCTTCAAGATGTCTGCCTCTTACCTGCACAGACATGTTTGTCCCTCCAGGCTGCCTGTCCTTGACCAGTGGAATTAGAGGCGAGAGGCGAAGCGACTGTGTGAGCAGGATGACAACTCAGCATCTCAGGCCTAAGGGGCCGAGTTAACACTCAGCCCGCCTCCCTCTCACTCCATCCACTGTTTTATCCATCAGTGGCATTTAAATACAGTCGGGCTCATAGAGGCAACCAAAACACCGACTCTGATCGACATGCACGCTCGCTCCTGCTGGGCCAAACTGGGTCTTCATGTTATCTTGATGCCATTCCAGTCCTGACAGGCCTGTTGACCCGTACTTTCCTTTTACCTCATTTAAAGGATTTAGTGATGAACAGAGATGGAAATAGACTTCCCTGCACTAGATTCAGCTCAATAATGTATACCTCTTTGGAGACTATTTATAATATTCCCTGACGGGTTTCTCGAATGGAAATGGAACTGGTTGCTATTTTTTGATGACTGCGGTCATGTAGCGTCATTAAAATTGGTGTCATTCACCACTGTCAGCCCGGATATGCGAAAGTAACAGAACACAGACACGTTTGTTGGCACCTCAGGTGTTAACAGCTCTAAAATAAACGTATCTGTTGCTGCAGCAGCAGCATAATCTCACTGAAAATATTACATGAAGTCGACCTTTACTCAGCAGGGAGAAAAAAAATTTGTGTTTAAAAATAAATGTCCTTTTTTTAATTACTGTAAAATACCATTTGGCAATCTGAGGACACTTACTCTTCTGTTTTGAAGCAGAAAAGAGAGCAAGGCTTTTTACTATTCTTCTACACACAGTCGCTCTATGTCAGTACTGTCCAAATGTTTTGCTGAAAATATCAAGTTGAAAATACTTGGGGGCACAAAAGTTCGTTTTTTTTTTTATTAAGTTACTTTATATTAACTTCTCTCTCTTTTACCAACAATAAACCAACCACACAGTATTTTAAAGGTGACATATTATTTCCTTTAACAGGTTAGGATATGTCTATGCAAAACATGTTCATTACATTTTTGCACAAAATCATTCTTTTACGTTTGCTCATAACCGCTTGTCACTTTAAATCCAAATAAGCTGCTGGCAACGCCCCCGAACTCGATGTTTATACTCCCACATAAAAATGGCAGCCCACAGATGCTCAATTATACAACTGTATATGTTTGAACAGCAGAAGTTGAGCCTCCCGCACAATTAACAAGAATGCAGAAAGTGTTTTCTAGTTGGTAAGTCAACAACAAATTGTGCAGCGCATACAGAGGTTGAACCAGAAGACCAAACGTGCACGAGTGCCGCTTCGGTTGCTAGGTGACGGGCGGAGTTTTGAAGGGGTTGCTAGGCAGCGGGCTGTGCTGCACGGTTACAAGAAGAAAAAAACAGCATTCGGTTTTTCTGTGTGCGTTTTCGACAACAACAACAAACAGCTCACTCTTGTTTTTAGAAATTGCTTAAGCTCAAGTTTGGTTTACAGTAAAATTCACCAAATGTTTTTCAGTCCAATTTACCAACTTAGAAAATTGAAAGGAGAAAACATTTTTGATAAAAGATGAAAACTTTGTGTTGTACCTAACACTTTTCATTTTACATCCTCAAATTAATTAACATTTGCCCCTAATGTTATTTTTTCACCTTTATCTGAATCAACCGCCTGAGTTTGTAAACTACCGGTACTTTTTTTGGTAGCAGGACAGATGAGCCTTTTTTTATCTAAATGCCAAACAACTTGTGCCCATTGGTTGTCATGGCAATTTAATGAAGCTTACATCCAGCCTAATTGTTAAAGGAAATGTCCCTTTTGTCATTTATTATTTAAACCCCAATTAGGATGTCTCTTGAAACTGTGACTCACTTAAAAGTTTAAAATGTGAAACTTTTTCATACAATTATGCTATCAATTATACAATAATTATGCTAACAGTGATTGTGTTAAAAGCAATAATTTCTTAACATGGGATTTTTTGTCCTCTGTAGTGAAAAGACTCAAATTAAAGTTGTTTTAATGAATTCAATGTGAGATTAGACTATTACAGGAAAACATGAAGCTTAAGTTTGTTGTTTTTGTAGTCCATGTTTATATCTTCAAGGTGATTATTGGATGAAAATGTATGTGATTTAATGTATGGATTAAGAAATTCAAGCAGTATGCAATCAGTTTCTTTTCTGTAACTCTATTAGCCAGCAGTAAAAATAGAGATTTACATATTTTGTCAATAAAATGTATATTTATATCTCAGAAAATCATGCATTGTGTAACTTAATTATTGATATTTTGTTGTTCTTATTGGGTGCTGGATAATCCATCCATCTTTGTATCTAAACTGTGTGTGAGAGAGTCCATCTTAGATTGACACTAATACGAAACCAACACGAAGAGGGAAGCCGGATCCAGACTGTATCCTTGTCGGGACAGGAGAGGCACCCAGCGGTAGCCTGGAGGAGGTTAGGGGGCAAAAGAAAATACATCAAACAGACAGAAAATATCATTTCCATTTGTCTAAAAACCTATTCCACAGAGCAGAGCCTTTAGCTGTGCTGACACTGTGAATGTCAGGCAATGATGGACCAACAGTGTTATCTGATATGCTCTCCCCACAGCTACTTAAAGTCACCCTTTCTGCCCTGTGGCTCACCTTTTTTCAAACTGGTGAAGGGCATCGTGTACTGGCCCACAAACTCGCTCTTGAAGAGGGTCATCTGGTCACGCACGCAGAAGCGGATGAGGCAGAGCTCGGGGACGGTGATGCTAAAGTTCATGTCGGTGTCCCAGTGAGGAGTCAGAGCTGGAGCAGTAAAAATCACCATTATTAGCTACACAAAAGGTTCACTGACTCATTTTAAGATCCGGAAACAAGATAGGCAGTCAGTCAAGTTTATTTGTATAGTACATTTCAGCAACAGGGCAGTTCAAAGAACTTCATGTCATAAAATACAAAAATAAACACACCACATAGTCAACACTGCAAAAACACAAACTCTAATTGAATCTAGTTTCTAATGTGAACATTTTAGAATATTTGATATAGACCGAATAAAATTAAAAATAACTTTTCAACAAAATATAGAAGCTTGTTTTAGGTTAATATTTACTTTATATATATATATATATATATATATCTATATATATAATATATATATATATATATATATATATAATATATATATATATATATATATATATATATATATATAAGTACTAGTTCCATTGGCAGACTATTTCACTTATAACTTGGGAAAATATCTTGTTATAAGTGAAATTATCTACCAATGGAGTGAGTATTTTTTTATCAATACAAATACTATATTTGTATTGGTTATTTCCATCAATACAAATATGATGTATTGAGACTGTTTCAGGAAGATATAATTCTTCCTCAAAGAAGAATTATATTAATTATTGATAATTAATATAATTAATATTAATTATATTAATTAAGAACTTATAAGTTCTTAATTAGTTAAGAACTTACAAGAGCTAACACTTGTAAGTTAGCTTTGTCTTATTTCATGTATACTAACACATTTACACTAGAAACTAGACCAAAATTACTTGTTAAGATTTTGTGTTTTTGCAGTGTGTTTTCTGCATCATCAAAATACACATTAAATATTTTGGAAGTACATTTTATTATGGTTGAAAAGCAACTAAGCAGGTGAGTTTTTAGTTTTGATTCAAAGGAAGTTTCAGCTGTTTTGCAGTTTCCTGCATTTGTCCCAGATTTGTGGTGCTGCTCCTCTGTGCTTGGTTCTGGTTCTGATTCTGAGGATGCAGAGCAGACACAAGACCTTTGTGTTCTGGAAGTTTGATACGTCAGAACTTTCATGGATCAAAGTTTGTACTGACTTAAATTCATTAAGCAAAATAAAAGTTGGCTTCAAAGGTGGGATATGTAAGTTTTACTTTTAAAAATTATATGTATGTTTTGTGAAGATACAGATAGTAAATTAAAAAAATTGAGCTTGTCTGTCTTTTTCCAATGGTAACTAAATACGCAGATGTACCACAACGGAGCCATAAATGCTAAAGCTAATTAGCATAGCCACTGATGACAGTGGATAAATGGTTTTCCAGTCACGGTTAGTTGTCTCTCGGCAATTAGCACATTAAATCGTGTGCATCTGAAGATGACTGACATAAGAGCCTATCCCTGGCTTTGATTGGTTATTTTTGAACCGGAGCATTTCTTCATACGTCAACGATCCATCTTACTCCTGGGAGGTTTTCTGGGGAAACGATTATGGGCCTTACTTCCGGCGCCCACCGGAAGTAGCAGTATTTCACTGAAGTAGCAGTATGTCATTGTAATTTGTAGTTTTTGCTATAACCGAATTTTGCATTAACCTGTTATAGAGAGCAACTTACCACTGGAAAGTGTCTTAAGATGCCCCTGGGGAATTGGGGGAACTGATGTGGTGTTCGTGGCTGTGCTCTGATAATCAGATCACGTTATGTTTGTGGCTGCAGCAGCCAGGGTGTTTTGAACGTGCTCCCAAAACAAAAGTGGGAGTTTTCATTGCCTAGGCTCAGATAAGCAAACAAAATTAATTTGGATAAAGTTCTACACTTGAAGAGAGTCTAAAATGTTTTATGTGAGTTTATTTTATTGTGTGGATAAAAAGCCAACGGAAGAAAACCATCCGAAGCAACTGAGTCAGTGAAGTAGCTATATGCTCGTGTGGGCAGCTACATGCTAGTTGCCGCTCCTCCGTCAATAATTGTCCTGTGACTGGCAGTTGAGGCTACCGCTAACTAGCTGCTAATATATGCTAGGAAGCTAACTAGGTTTTTGCCTCTGTTATGGTGATGAACTCGATTGATGGGCAACGATGAAGGACAGCGACAACCGAAAGTCATCCCCACTCAGAGTGAAGACACAAGAAGACAATTAAACACAGGTAGGTGATGGAAGTATTAAGAACCATAGGATTTCACACAATACCAAGTTTTGGCTCCTAAAAATGTGCTAGTAAGTAAAAATTTCGAAATTAACCTAAACAATTTTCTGGAATAAAATAGGAACATTTTGAGTTTGTTTTGAAGCTCAAAACTACACAAAGGTTGAAAGTGGTTGACTTTTCAGACTCTGAAATGTCCTTGCTTTTATTTCTAGAACATTTCTGTGATTAATAAAAGCATTTCTGAGTTTTTTATAGCAAAAGTTAAGCATTTTTTTAGCAAGGAAATTTGCTAGAAAAACATATTTTCTTGTTTTTTTCTCTAGAAAATTTCTGAGATTAGTCTCAAACTTTCTGAGGTTTGTGGTTGAAATTTTCAACTCCTTTCTTTTATTTCATATCAATGGCCCTATGCACCATCAGTCCAACTTTTGCATGCAGACTGTTTTTTGTGAGAACCTAATACTGACAGTTACTCAGGTTGACCGCCACTATACCAACATCAGCTTTACTTCACATGGAAGAATATTAACTAAAAACTCATAAATGTTAAAATTATTAGATTAAACAGAGTTTTTGAAAGGAAACAGCAAACATAAGTAGGGAAACTTGCATCCTGCAATTAAGTTGTAAAATTAGACATGTCGTCTTTAATTGATATTCCTGAATATGTGGTCAGCCAACAGAATTAAGATTTTATTAAAAAGGAAGGTGGTATTTTAACCTTTGTAGACTGAAATAATACATAGTACATAGTTCATCTGAATTTTTCTCTGTTTTTATGGCTCAACTGATTAAATCAAAAATGCATAAAAGCCCACTGTAGAACAAACTGGGACAAAATGTAATAGCAAAGTTCATTAGGCAGGCTAATGAATCAATCATTTGAAACCAGTTCACCCTTGACAAGAAGTAGTTCTGCATTAGCCAGAGTAAAATTAATTCCTGTTTATAATTCACAGGTCCACTATGAACTAATTGTCATTTATCAGTGCACATTTTTAAAGTAGCTCATCAATCTGTCTTACTTGGATACAGTTAAAATGTTTTGCTGCAGCCATAAACCTTCAAAGAAAAAGTGAAAATAAAGTGGAAAAAAAAGAAGGAAGAATAATCATAATAATAACAATCTGCTTTATGTGACATCATCGTAAGTATAAAGCTTATTTGCACAGGAGAGTGATTTTTATTTTTTACATGTATCTAAATTCAATTTAATGGCTTTCACAAGAAAGACTGGCTGGTATTTTTAGCTTGACCAAACGCTTTGAGCAACCACTTTGCAGTAATATCAATTCTCAGTGTATTTTAATGATTCTTTTTTTTTCGCTCAGAAGACAAAAGTTGGCACAAATCAGGCTAAATAGGGCAGAGCCAGTCCTTAAAAGGAGTTCGCTTTGTGGTACTCACAATTGTTTTTGACAATGTGAGTGCTTTTACTGCGGGAGTCGAATGCAATCCCATGAATCTCCACTCGGACAAATGGGTCGAGAGTGTTTCGAGATTTGATGACTGGAAGGTTGGACCCACTTATCACCTGTGAACAGAGAGAGGTGGAAGTCAACTCAGTTTAGATGATGCTATAACAGAAAATCATTAAAAGAAGACGTTGGTATCAACAAAACAACAGAAGAAAGAAATTATGTAATGTTTTTTTTTTTTCTGCCAGACTGTAATAACTACAGTCTGGCAGAAAAAGCAAACTTATCTGCAGTCCTGTCACATTGCGCCTTCCCTTTCACTGGCTCTGATCAAAGACAAACCTGCAAGCACTTATCACGACATGCATCACTTGGTCGTGATGGAGCCTTACAGTGTCCAGCCTCAAATTAAATTCCCTTCTTTTTAACCCAAAGACACGCTATATATATATACAAAAAACACCCTACATTTTAATAGCAGCAGTACCTTCATGTTCGTGTTTAAATCTCAGATTGGAATCGACTCAAAGCTTTGTCGTAAAGATAAAAGGTCCTCACATATTACAGGCTAACCCTTAATGGAGTAATTAAACTCACATTCTGTTAAAGGTGTCCTGCTATACTTGCTTGAATAGGTTAGAATAGGTCTATGGGCTTTACAAAACACGTTCATTACATTTTCTGCACAAAATCAGTCTTAGATAATGAGATTCTGCTTAGTTCTGCTTACGTTGAGATCCTTTCTTTACATCCAAATAAGCTGCTGCTGGCCACGCCGCCTCACTCAACTTTTAAAAATAACTAGTCATTTTCAAAAATGAAAATGTTTGAAATTTGTGCAATTATAGAAAAGTACATTTTTGAGAATCATTAGTAGATCCTCCTGCACAACCAACAAGAATGCAGCAAGTGGTTTGTAAATGTTAAGTCAACAACAAAACACTTGTCTTTTCCAGCAGCCATTGTACAGCTGACAAAACTTTCTGAAACTAGGAGACGGGTGGAGCTTCACCTGGGTTTCTAGGTAACTGGACTTCTCTGGGGTTGCATTTGGAAATTTTTTTGAAAGGGCTCATTTTCCAGACACCAAAAAACCTCTTGCCAAAAATTGACACTGTAGTTTTTCTAAGCACTTGTTGTCTAAATATTAGGTTAATTTACCTTTTCAAATGCTGTCAGGTTTGTTTTATAATATCATTTTTATATGAAAATAAAAATAATCTATCCTGTATTTATTCAAGTAAACTTTGACATTAACTTTTCCATGATCTAAAACCTTTAAATGTGACATAAACAATAAAACTGAAAAGATCTGTAAAGTAGGAAAAACCTTTTCTCAACACTGCAAGAGCCGGTATGTTGAACTTATTATTTTTCTTCAGGATGTTTTATGATGCAATCACAGGAAATGGCATGAAGCACAAAGTTGTCACTGTGAAGCAAAGGCTTAATAGGAATTTGACTAATATCTGGTGATGTTTAAGTTCATTTAAAGCCTCTTCACTGCAAAAGCATAAAATAAGAAGTAATTTTGGGCTAGTTTCTGGTGAAAATATCTTAGTACACTTGAAATAAGACAACGCTAAATTACAAGTTACTTTTCAGCAAGATGGAGGAGATTGTTTTAAGCAAATAGTTTCTTTAAAATTAATGAAAAAGTACTAGTTCCATGGAGTATTTCATTTTTAACAAGGAAAAAGTGTCTTATGAGTGAAATAATCTAGCAGTGGAAATAGTATTTTTTTTCATTAATAATAAGGAATCATTTCCTTAAAACTATCTCTTCTATTTTGCTGAAAAGTCACTTGCAAGTTAGCTTTGTCTTATTTCAAGTGCACTAAGAAATTTGCTCAGTATTTGGTAAGATGTTGTATTTTTACTGAAGACTAAAGGATCATTTTATGAAACACCACCAGGCAAAATCAAAAAATTCAGATCATTCTACTTTTCTCAGTCTTTGCTACGAGGCTTCCTTGAAGATCCAAGCACCACTCGCTAAGACACTTAGAATAATGGAATACAATGATTTATTAATTGGACTGCCAGCCTAATTGCATTAGAGTTCCTGTGTTTCCTTTTTCCCTTAATTTCTAAAGGGAGATAATCTCATTAAACAGACACGCTCAGGAAGTTTTACATCATTGTTACTTCACAGTATCCAGCAGGGGACTATTTCTCTGGAAGCTAAGAGTGAAATAAGGTCTGATATAAAATAAAAGCCCCAGATTGTGAGGTACAGACACACAGACAGCGGCGTACCACTCTACCTCAATCCATAATCCCCTGCAGGGGGATTATTGAGCATTCGTTGCTCTGTATCTGTACCTTGAGCACCAGCTGTGTGGGTTTGAGGTAGCGGTAGCTGGTGGTGGGATCAAAGCTCCTCTCACTGGACATCAACACCGCTGGCTTCAGGACGTACCCGCAGCCGCCGTTGTCTTGGAAACGGCCGTTGTTGAGGTCCATGGACAGGCCTGGATACTGGAAATTCAGAGCCACTGCAAAACACAGTGGGACAGTCTGAGAACAATGAGAGCCAGGAGCCTCACAGCAACAGTGAGAGCAGACGCTGCACAAAGCTTGTTGGGGGGGGAGGAGGTAAGAGGATCTCTGCGAGTTTCTGAAGCTCGTTTTCACCGCACTGAGGAGAGTTAAATTATGGAACAACTTCGAATGTTTCTGCAGCAAAGGTTGCGTCAGAGAGGTTTCTGTTGTCCAAATCTTTAACCATGTCCACTGCATATACCAAGGGTGTCCAAAGTGCGGCTCGGGGGCCATTCACGGCTCTCTGAAAGCATTTTGGGTGGCAGAACATGTGTGGTTGATGCAGATGGGACACTTCTCTACTCTAACATGACTTACAAATAAATAAATATTAGGTACAAAAATAGATCCCCATTTATCAATAAGGTTTTTGCATTCATCTTAATTTTAGATTTAATTATAACCTTTTTAAGATGAAATCTTGTGTTTCATATTTCTTTTCTTTTCCAAGAAAACAATCAAAGCCAAATGATGTAGAAATTGAAACTTCTTTCAGTTTTGTATCTGCAGTGATTCTGTATTTTCTACAAAAATCTGACCTTTTTTTCATTAATTAAAAAAAAAATTGTATTATTGAGCAGATAAAATAAAAAGGAACCAAGAGTTTGTTTTAAAAATAAATTTAATGCATTTAACAAAGGACATTTTCAATGCCTAAAATAAACAAAATTTAAACTTCAAATAAAATGAATTAAAGTCTCTGTACACAAAACTATCCTTAAAAAAGGGCTAGTTGGGGCCAAAACACTTTAGTCATCCAGTTTTTGGTGGATTTAACAAAGGACATTTTCAGAGCCAGAGAAAAACAGTAAATCATGCAAATAGAAATTATTGAGCTTCAAATGATGCCCTAACTGTAGACTGCAGTGGGTTTGCAGTTATTTAGGGACATGCTACAGTTTTAATACTATATATTTTTTTTATTTCACTGCACAACAATCCACTACTTTGATTGGGCTTTCTGAAAAAATCTCAGCAAATTACACTAAAGAAGAAAATTTCAGTAAATTCAAAGAGTACAAGTAATTCTGCAAAGCACTTAACCAGACTTCTGGCACAAATGAGAAATCTGTAAAGTAAAAGAAGTATATGCATAGTTGCCAACATGTTAGTCTGAATTAACAACTTTCTCTAGCATACGGCATGAAGCTCTGCTCATCTAACAGAGATTGATCTGTCTGAGCTGCTGCTTTGTTCGTCTGTCTCAGCTCTGCAGCTGCTGAGCTGCCCCCACGCAAACGCACGCCGTCTGCTCAGCAGGGCTCCTTTTCAAAGACGCCACCAACCTGAATGAGCGATGGAGACGGATGAGGAGGAAGTGCAACGACAGACGGAGTGACAGGAGCCTGCAAGATGCAGTGATTCAGTGAGTCAGGAAAATGCAGTGAATAGCTGCAGAATTGTACAGGTAAAGTTTAATATTTTCACTCAAAGCATAATTTCACTGAGAGAAGTTTGTTGCTGTTGATGTCATCAAACTCGAGTGTGTAAAATGAAAATGTAGGGGGTTCTGACAATGGCATAGCCACTGTACAAAGGAAATAAAGAAATAAATTTATACAGGAGCAAATGTGATAGGAGACAGGAGAGACATTGCTGCAGGGGCTGATGATCCCAAATGGAAAACAGATTTCTAATCCATTCTCTTTGAAGTTCGACAACTCAACTTCTGGACGGCAACTTCTCTCCGTCTCAGCTTGTAATGAGTTGCAAAGACGATTTGGTGAATGTCGAAAGCTTTTTGATTCCTTGTGACACTGCAGATACAAGGGATCAAAAAGAGTCTATTCATTTTATTTAACATTTGTGTCTGTACTTGGGATGTCGCTTAATTAGTTACAGTTGATAAACTAATAACGTCTGCTTAGACCTTCTTTTTAGTGTTGTAGTTCGGCTGCCATCCAGTCGAGGGGGCCGCTGGCCATCCTTAAATGGAGCCAGTTGATACAGAAACAAAGATGGCGGCGGAATACCAGAACAGGAAAGAGAGACGGTCTGGTGTGGGACGCACAATGCATTTACACAGTTCTGTTTTGAAATCTAAACTCTGGTCCAGCTACAAAAAAGATTAGAGACACAGAAAAACTAAAAAATGAATACTGACTTCAATCTCAGACTCCTCTCAGAATTATGTTTTTAATCAGAATTTTTTTTCTGGTTTAAAAAAAAAAATCTCAGAATTCCCAAATTTTTTACATTTTAATTTTGACGTTTTTTCTTTATCTTAATTCGGATACATCTCACAATTCAGGTTTTTTTTTTCTCAGATTTTTGAGTTTGAACTCAAAATTCTGACTTCGATCTCAGAAGATTAAAGACAGACGATTTATTTTTTCTTTTAATGGCCCTAATCTTCTTACATAACAAGGTCCTTAAGTCTCACAATGTTTTTATTTTTCAAAGCGAAATTATAATGACAAATGTAGCCCTTTATAAAATGGAAACTATCGACCTTCTTCATGCAAGAGAGAACAAATATTTTAAAGAAAATGAACACCTCTAAATTAATTGTTAGTTGATCAACAGCATTTAAATATTTAAATATCAGCGTTTCCACAATAATTAATTAAATCTACGTTTCTGCTGAAACAAATATGTCTGGAGGCTCTGCGGCTCACCGAGCTGCGCGCCGACGCTCCAGAACTCCTGCGGGTTGTAATTGGATGAGGACGTTCTCGAGCCTGCTGGATAAATTCTGCTTAGGAACCTTTGATTGTGCTGAATAAAACTGGAACCTGAAAGAGAGGATGCAGAAGCCAGTCAGGGGGAAATGTTAAACGTACAGCACTGAGTGCCACTTCCTTGTGATGTTCCACACTGTCACATTGGATACCGTCATGGAGTGATGGGGTTCATCTGAAAGGACATGGTCAATTTTTGACAAGTTTCCAATACATTTTTCAGTTTGGTATGAGACAGATCTTTTCTTGCTCTTGGACTGCAAATAATCTGCAGCTTCAACATGCAGTTATGTGGAAAATGTTTAAATAACTCTTCATTTCCTAACATTTTGCATCCATGGAGCCAGACAGTCCTGTAATCTCATCAGTTGGTCTTGATGTATAGATTCCTTAGGTTTTCTGAACATCTCTAAAAGTTTGTATTTGGACATTTGGTTCTTTTTTTATTAATTTTCTGTCAAAAGAAGGTTGGTTCACTAGAACAATAATTTGACATATAAACCTTTAACACCTCTCAGATTTAGAAAGAAGGTGTTTACCGGGTTAACATTTCCTTCTATTTTTCTGAACTATTTATAGGTCTATTTAAGACCACAACTAACAACATGAAAGAAAGCCTGTCTGTTTGATAACAGCAGAGAAATGTGGGATGATCGAAGATGATTCACATTGATTTTATTACTTTCAGATAAAAGTTTGCAATCCCAAAACTTTGTCATTTCCAGATACAAAGTTCTTGGATGGATAAATGAATGGATGGATGACAGTAGGATGAATGGACAGATGGATGGATGGATGAATGATGGGTGAATACAGGATGTGAAAGTCAGATGAATAGATGAACTAATGGATGGATATAGGAGGGATGGGTAAATAGACGAACAGATGGAAGGATGGATGAATGGATAAACAGATGAATGAACGGGCGGATGGATGCAGAATGGATGAATGGACAGACGGATGGATGGATGAATGGATAAACAGATGGATGAACGGGCGGGTGGATGCAGAATGGATGAATGGACAGACGGATGGATGGATGAATGGATAAACAGATGGATGAACGGGCGGGTGGATGCAGAATGGATGAATGGATAGACAGAAGGGTGGATGGATGGATATCCAGGCCTTGAAGATACTTAAATCAAATTCCATGTTTTTCCAGATTGTACCGACTCAAGACTTTTGCACAGAATCAAAGCTCCATTAATGACTCTGTCCCTAAAGTTCAGGATGTTTCTGATCCTAACCCTCATACTGGAATCCTCACCATGACCTCATCATTCCTCACACGACCTCATCAGTCCTGACCGTGACATCATCACTCCTCACTATGACATTATCACTCCTCAACGTGACCTCATCACACCTCACAATGACGTCATCAGCGAGACTTTCTGTGTACCTGAGACCTTGATGAGCTTGCGCGCCTTCTTTTCTGACATGGATGTGTTCTCATAGCAGTTCTGATTGTCCCTGGAGTGGCTGAAGCTGATGAACTTGACAGACCGCGTGTAAATCACCAGGTCCGATAAAGCCCGGTGAAGGGTCACCTTCACCTTCTGGTCAGTGCCGTTAAGTGAGACAAGGTTAAACTTCACATAGTGGGCATACTGAGAAAAAAATTAAACTATAAAATTCCAAGAATAATGTTGCATTACAGAAATAAAGTCAAAATGATATGAAAATCCTAATAAAATTACAACAAAAAAGGGTCATGAGAATAAAGTCGTAGAAGAATAAAGTCTACATAAAATCATAAATTGCCATACAATCATGAGAAAAAAATTTAAATGAGGAAAATAGTCACGTTACAAAAAGTGATATTACAGGAAAATAGTTGTACGAGAATAAAGTTGAAATAACATGAGAATTGTATTATGAGGAAAAAACTTGTACAAGGAAAAGTTGTATTATAAGAAGTTATATCACAAGAAAAAAAGTTTAATTAATAGAAGAGTCTAAATAGTGCAAGAATAAAGTCATAATATCATGAGAATAAAGTTTAAGTAATATCAGAAAAAGAAATATGACCAGATTAAGATTGTAATATTATGACCTTATCCTCATGTTCTGTCGACTTTATTCTCATAATTTTATATTTTAAATTTACTCAGCGTGACTCTAATACTGTCTTTTTGTTTAAAAAACAAACCCTAACTCACTTTCTTCTTTGAAACCGTTCTTCTTGAAGACCAGAACTTTGCTTTAGTTTGAAAGCTGTCCTCATCCTCATCCTCGTCCTCATCCTCATCATCAGCATCCTCAGCCTCATCTGCACTGTCCTCTGTCTTGTCCTCGCTCCTAAGCTGTGACTTTAGCTTTTTGTTCTTGATCAGGATCTTATACATCAAGTCCTGACAGTCCCACACAAACAGCAAGACCTCAGTCATAAAATTATGCACACAACCCTTAATAAATACCAGTAATTCATGCTCATCTTTTAAAACTTATCACATACTTGCAGAAGTGCAACAGCCAAGCACCACTTTTGCATAAATCACTACAGCAGAAATCATTTCAGGTCATATTCACATTACTGCTCACAGTTTGTGAGACAGAGAAACCATTTAATAGCACAACAATACATCTACTATTTACTCTGTTTGTGCTTTAAATCGTCATGTTTTTCGGCCACAAACTGTAACATACAAGAGTTTTGGGGAGAAAATATGACACATATTGACAGATTTACTAATGCAAGCAACGCTAGGGTCTATAAACTCTGCAAATTACTTCCCTTGTTGAACATTATATCTTCAGATGAGCATTATTCTCAAAGCAAAGTTAAAACATCTTTGAAAAACAAACTTTAGTGTTTCCAGAAGATGTAGTGGGAAAACTAATTAAGGGACCCTCTTTTTATTACTGACAATATTTCAAAACAATTGTACAAGAATTGGGATTCTGACGAGATAAAGGAAAAATAAAACCTTACTTTTATAGGTTCCTCCTCAAACCTAACAAAGAATATCATAACAAATATTGCTGGACCATAAACTGTTCCATAATTTATTGCGACAATATTGTTGTTTTGACACCATTCACAAATACTACTGAACATTTTTTACCCTATTTAGCGACTTTACAGTCTCCAAATTTAGCAACTTTTTACTCAAACAAGTGACTCGCAAATTCTAGTCATGTTTTTGTCGTCATTAGGTACTTTTATGGCAACATGTGAAACCAAGTTTCATAACCAACAGGAAAATTTGACTGTAGTTGCCACAGTTCAATCAAAAGAGGGCAGCACAAAATTGGTTTTAGACAAATTATGCAGAATTAAACAAATGTACCACAGAAACGTAATGATGATCAAGAAATGATCTTTGAGCCCCAGTTTAGACGTTTTATCTGCAAAGAAAGATTGAATTTGGATTTACTGTCTCTTTAAACTCTAATTTTCATAACTCAAACACATATAATCGCTGTGTTTACTGTTTTTAGAATAATGGCTTTTGTTCTTTATGAGTCGCTTTGCAGCAGATGTTGGTACAGGAGTCATTTCTCTGTGGAGAAACATTAACACCAGCTTGCGCAAACTTCGTCACATGGTCCATTGCTTTTATTAATTTCAAAAACAGAGAATGTTTTCTTCTCCGAGACAAAGAACCCAATGGCCAAATGAACGCCTTTTCTATCCATAATATCAGCTAATCATTCCCATAAGCGGTCATCCTGCCATCAAGCTCACGTAGGCTACGTTTACACTACAGGCTGAAGTGACCCAAATTCAATTATCAATCTGGTGAATATTGTTCAGACTGTCAAGAAAAGGTCTGATAGAGGTCGTATTAAGGCAAAAAAGCAGAATTGGGTCACTTCAGGTTGCAGTGTGAACCTTACATTCTTCAGCACATCCATTGGTTTGTCAGGCTTACATTTGGGCTTGGGAGGTCTCCGGTGGTTGGGTGATCTAAAGGACTCTTCAGCAGCTTGTCCCCCAGGATGGAGGTCAGGTACTTGGCCATGACTTGCTGCTGCTCCTCGCAGCAGTGGTTTTCCAGAGACAGAATCACCGGGTAGGCGGAGACCTGACGTAAATAAAATCTAATTTAACTGATCACATTGTGGAAGAGCTTAAAAAATTTAATACCTAAAGTCAGAAAGTGTACAGTCACAGTGTTCAGAGCAAAAACACAATAATACCAAGTATTTTTGGTCTCGTTTCTAGTGCAAATTTCTTCGTAAACTTGAAATATGACAAAAACTAACTTAAAAGTAACTTTTTAGCACAATGTAGGACCTTGTTTTAAGTAAATTATTCATTAATATTGAAGAATAAGTTCCAGTTTCACATTTATATTTATTATACACAACATGGGAAATTTAGTTATTGTTTCACTGGCAGATTATTTAACATAGCCAGGACTTTTTCATCAATATTAAGGAATCATTAAAACAAACTCTTATTCATTCCTGAAAAGTTACTTATAAGTTAGTTTTCGCAACAAAGTATAAGGAAAAAATAAAATTGCAAGAATTAAGTCATATTACAAGAATATAGTTGGACCAGAATAATATTATAATAATTATATTATGACTTTATTTTCATACCAACACTTTATTCTCAAAATCTGACTTTATTCTCGTATCGCATATTCTTTAAACTTTTCTTGTAATATTATTACTTTCTTTCTCGTAAATTTATTTATTTTTTTTATTAGTAGTCCATTACAAGTGGCTTTATTTCAAGTGTACTAAGATACTTGCTCTAGAAACTAGACCGAAACTACTTGGTGAGATTTTGTGTTTTTGCAGGTTGCTAACTGGATCGGTAGCATCTCAGATGAGATTCCTGGTGCTTATAAAAGTCAGAAGCCGATTATTGGTGCTGCATAAATGTGAGTGAAAAGCCTGAGCTGTTACCTCAAAGGCGTGTTGTTGTATAGTTCTGATGACATCCTTGAATAAAATCTTGGTGGTGAGGGTGTAGCCGTGGTAAACTACAGGCTCCGCGTCTGGACCATCCCAGCAGTCGATCTCCAGACAGCGGCAGCCTTTCCTCAGCGCGCTGTCACACACACCCACAAACACACACGCACGCACGCACACACACACACATGCTTACAGTGAGCTCAGACGGGGTTATCATAATCTCAAACTTCACTTCTTCCTTCCCATGCATACATTCTCACTCATCTCTTTTTGTTTTTAATGATACCATAGATGTGTATTCCTTCCTTCTGCTGAATATTTCAATATTAAGGAAAGGGGCTTGAGCTGGGTGATAATGATGTCACTTCAAATTGTTATGGATTTGATGTATTTTCTGGCAGCGAAGTGAAGAGTTATCTCGGTTTCTGCAGACGCTCTCCAGTGAGACTGCTTTTGGTTTTGTGCCAGTTTATTGCCTTCACTTATATCACTGATGAAGTGACGTTCCGCTGCTCATAGAAAAGCTGCAGCAAGTCAGTATGTTGTTTTTTAAATCATGGTGTCCAGTTAATGCAAATATTGTAAGGGGAAAAACAAGATGGTCCAAGTTGGGAGTGGACCGATTGCAGTTTTCTGTCTGATCAGTAATTACCGATCTTTAAAAAGAAGGACCTGCTGATTCTGATTTTAGCCAATACTAACTTTTTTTTTCCTTTTTGTCTGAAATGTCACTAAATATGGCAAGAAAGTCACTGAGTTAGCAACAGGTGGATGATTATTGTTTTTTGTTTTTGCTTGTTTTTTCATTTAACTGAAAATGTTTGTGTTTCGCAAACATTTGTTGAAAATGTAAATTTTTCCACATTTGTTTACATATCAAACATACATGAAAAATTCACATTCAACATTATATAACATAAAACTTTTGATTGGGAGCTATTCTTCCATCAGACCTTTTCTCTCATCCAGTTCGTCCAGTTCTTTCTTTGTCTTTTGTCTGGAATAGTGTCAATTTTGTCCACTTTTCTTCCATTTATGTTTGCCTTAGTCTCAGATGACATATCAATTTTTCCATGATGCAGACTTCTTCTATTATTCCAATCATTTGGACAGAGGGTCCACCTTTACTTATTTTCTTACTTAACATTATCTTACTCAGATAGCTAAGATAGAGTGACTCATTAACTGCAAATATGCAGACATGACCTGGTCTGTCAGTCAGACCTCTCACAGCAGAGCAAAAGAGGACAAAGGCAAATTTTTAAATCTTTGTTGACGTAGATGAGATCATGGCATCAGCTGATCACACATCTCGTAAAATGAACAAGAAAATTGGCACCAATGAATCGATCAACAAGTTAAATGTTCACTCTAATCAGTGAAACCCTGTGGATCCAATGCAATACGTAATAATTAGGGATACACGATTTCCTTAGTTTTGGGAGATCGGTGATTAGCTCATACTTAAAGGTGAAGCCGATTTCATCTACATTAACAAAGGTCTAAAAATTGACCACTGTCCTCTTCTGCTCTCCCATGTGAGAAGCTTGACTGACAGACCGGCCACCAGGTAATTTTTGCATGTTTTCCGTTAACAAAAGTCTCTCCACTGTTAGCAATTTAGTGACTTTCTTGCTATATTTCGCAACTTTTAAACAATCGGCCAAATTGGAATCAGCAGGTCAGGCTCCAGCCAGCAAACTGCAATCGCTGCACTCTTCAGGAGTAATGTAACAAAATCAGGCTTTACAATGTACACAAAACCGCATTATGTAATAATCAGTGCAAAATGAAATAAAATTTTTGATTGCATTTTTTGGACCAGTTTTCCTTGAACGACTTGCAGGTTAAAGCTTCAGTTGAAGACGTTTTTCTTGATAATTGCACTTATGAAGTGAGAATGTGAAGAAAATTGGAAAACGGTGTTTTAGATTTATTTCACTTCACTGATCTATTAAATGAAATCCACATAAAATACATAGAAAGTCTAATGTAGTTTTCAATGTAGTTTTATCTTTCTGCCTCAGTTCAGTTGCATTCACTCTGCAAAAAGTGAATTTAAGCCCTTTTTTTATTTCCTAGTCCCTAATCAGCAGCCTTCTGCAGCTGTATTCCTGTGTTTTTTCACAGATAAACATTTAGTTATCAGGCCAGAGCAGAGCTTGAAGGCTGCTGGGGCTGAATGGTTAGTTTCTACCAGCTGGCCGGGGCATTCAGCCGTCTGCCGGATCCATAAATACTGAACTCTTGCTGCCGTCAGCTGCTTTGTAATCACTCTCATTGTGCCACAGAGGTATCCACAGCAGATTTGCTGTCTGCCTCAGCACATGAGTAGGTCAGTGAAACGAGAAGGACGGTATTCAGTGTTCAGAAACCAAAAGTCCACCTCTGCAGGGTCGGGATCGACTTACAAATAAAAAGAACCAGTAGATGTTTATTTTTGGGCACCTTGTATTTTTAGATTCTATATACATATCAATAAAATAAATTAAAAACAAGAATACATACATACATTTAAACATACACTAAAACAAAAGTTAGTTGTTTTAGCTTCTTGTTCAAAAAGGAGCTACTAGTTTATTTTAATTCCAACCCAATTTTACTATACTCCCCTTATATCAAGATATTAATGACAGTATATGTAATATACTATATCTTGTATAGAAAACAAAATTCATCCTACTTTTTATGTATTACATTTATCTAAATCATAGAGAAGAGGACTGGGGTCACTGGAAAAAGAATTCTGAATTTTATTCTCAGAATTCTAACTTTAATCAAAAAAAAATCAGTCATTTTTTTCCCCAAAAGAATCTAAAATTTTTCCTCTCACAGTTCAGACTTCTTTTCCTCAGATTTCGGGCATTTTTCCCTCAGTTTGGACTTTTTTCCCCCCTCAGAGTTTGTGTTTGCTCTTCTTAGAATTGCAGTACATTTTGACAGCTTTGATCTTCCGTAGATTTCACCAGATTACACCAAGAAACGTTTTGTCATTCCCTCTTTCTGTGTAATGTCTATTCTCATTCATAAATTTTCAAATGATAGATGCTTCGTTAAAACAAAGCGTTGAGTCATAGAAACGCTCCCTACCTAACATACGCATCCAGGTGGCTTTTCCCGACCAGCTGATCTCCGGTCAGGTAGGTGTTGTGAGACGAGGAGATGAAGTAGCTAGTGAGAGGCTGGTCCATGTCCTGGTACACCGTCTTGTGAATCCGGTTGAACACGCAGCAGTCTTTGGACTCCATATATCTGAGGAAGCCTTCGAACGTCATGCACCTGCTTTCTACAGCTGAAAGGAGGAAACAACAGGCTGAACTCTGGGTCAGGAAATTTAATAAAACAGAGCAGCAACAGCAAACCCAAGCAGAAAAACTGCTGATCCTCTTTGCATGTAAGGACAGAGCATGCTAAGTACTTCGCTAATGAGTTTTTTTTTATTATTGAAAAACACTTTATTTTGTTCTCTGAGCTGCAAAAACCCTTTTTTTTTTGTCTTTTTACCAATACGGGAGCTGCACGCGTCTTTAAGTGAAAGTATTCCAGCTCCAAAATAGACATGTTGCAACCGAGCAATCGCAGATCAAGTTACATAAAAGTAAGAGAAACGTAAAGTACCCAAAAATCACAAGAGTAGCACAAAAGTAAAAAGTAGCTGTCCAAAAAAAAAGACTAGTAAAAAAAAAAATTTAATACAAACTACAGAGTAACTGATCAAAACATCAATCATTTAATATTTACGTTTTTTGTACTTTAAATATTTTTTAATGGTCAAAATTTAAATAATTTGTTTTCACAAAATAACTAAATTGGATAAAGGAAACATTTTTTTAAATCAGTTTCTTTCAATATAAAAGTTAAACTAACAGAAATTGGAGATTTGTGTCTGAGTCCTGTGAATTTTGATATAAATGACAAAATTTTGTAACAAATAGAGTACTTATTAAATATTTATATTTTTAATAAGTAAGTTTATAAAAATAAAGATCCCTATAAAATAAAACTAAGTAAATATTAAATTGTTTTGTTTTTGTGCATTTTCTTATTTGTTTATGTAACAATTGTGTTTTATTTTGACTTATTGTCTGAAATTTTTATTTTTATGTTCATATTGTGAAATAAGCAAATACACAAATAAATCCTGAAATCAAAAAACTAAAATTGTGCTTGACAAAATCGCCTTGAAAAGATATTTTTTTATTTATTTGATTAACAGTAAACAGACCTCCATAGTGTCCAAAAGAGAGAAACTGGCATCTATTTTATGTTAAATTTATGAGAAAAAGAAAATCAATTATTGTTAAAGAAATGTTCCTAAAAACTTTGAACAATATAACTAAAGCATTAAATAAACATTATTTTATATTAATTTAAGGGGATTGTTGGGTTTTCCAGTAACGGCGGCATTAGGAATTCATGGGTTTCTTTCTGGAATATGATTTTTTTGTTCACAGTTCTGTCGTTTTAAGATTAGATTGAATTATTTTCCTTTCATGAACATTTGTCCCTGCACAGCTGCAGACTCGGTGCGACTGGGAGACACGTCCCGTTACATTTCCTGCTTTTTAATGAGACATTCTGTGACTCACTCTGCAGCACATTCAGCTTTTAACAATACCTGTTCCACTTTCCCAGCGATGAATCCTCTTTTCTCCTCGTGTAGACCTGTCACTTTCAGTATTCAGGTCCTAACTTACATTCAGACTGAATCACCATCGTCGTGATTCATCTTATTTTCCAGAATAATTTTTAAACCTTCTTGATGCAGCGAGGAGACGTGATTCCTCCTCGTTCACTCACTCACCTGCCTCATCAATCTCATATCTGTCGATCAGATCCTCCGCCGTGTCTTTGTTCGCTGTGAGCTCCATTTGTTCCTTACAGAGAAACGTCAGCAGAGCACTCGCAGGTAAAGTAGGGAGGCCTTCTGTGTATCTTTGAAACAGAGACAGGATTTCTACTCTCCTGGATTGCGGCACCCTGCTTTTCTTCAACATTACCTGCATAAAGTAAATGCTTTAATCAATTGAAAATATTAAACCGTATTAAGATAAATTCAGGCTCATTTTATCAAAGCCTTATCAAATCTCTGAGATTTTTTTTTTATCAAAGCTGCCTTTTTCTATTGGTCTTACTTGATATTCTCATTATCTGGGAATATTAGGTTTTTTGATTAAATATAATTATCAAAATTTACAGAAGTCAACACTCAATATATGTCACACTTTATGATGAAACTAAATACACTGCAAAAACAGGCAATCAAACATGAATCAATTAATCACATGATAAATTAAAAGCAGCTCAATAATTTCTATTTGCAGATTTTATTGTTTTTCTCTTTTGTCTTTGTTTCTTACCAAAAACTAGTCTTCAGTCTGTTGCTTTGGCCTCAACTAGCCCTATTTTAAAGGATAACTTTGTTTACAGCAACGTCAAAATTCATTTGTTTTGTGTTTTGTTATTTTTTTTATTTATTGTGGATATTTAAAATGTTTTCTGGTTCCAATATTTGATTTTTGAGAAAATTTTCTTCTGTTTTATTGTGCCATTACCATTATGTCACTTAAAAATTGTAACAAACATATCTGGGACAATTTATTGCTCAGCAATATTGTGCATATCGTCACAATAAGCAATAGCATATTGTGATAATATGCATATTGTTATTGTGACAGGCCTATGCAAATTAAGCGAGTATTTGAACACTTGGAAAAAGACAAAACTTACTTATAAGTAACTTTTCAGCAAGATATAGCAACTTGTTTTTATGATGGAGTATTAGGGATACACTTAAATGAAAAAATAATAAAATTGCAAGAATAGTCATAGCATTATGAGGTATAAAATCACATTATTACAACTTTATTTCTGTACAACTATGACTCTGTTTCTGGTAATGCTATAACTTTATGCCCAAAATATTAAGTTTTTATTCTCATATTATTTTGACTTTATTCTTGTTATATTCTAACTATATTTTCTGTTTTTTATTTTTTAATATGGCTTAAATACACTCATATGTTTTAAGTCCATAACGTCCTAAAAATATTAGTTTCACTGGCAGATTATTTAATTTATAACATGGGGAAAATGTCTTGTTATTAATAAAATAATCTGCCAGTAAAAACTACTACTTTTAAAAATAATAATAATTCATTATTGATCTATAACAAGCTTTTATATCTTGCTGAAAAGATAATTGTAAGTTAGTTTTCTTATTTTAAGATATTTGCATTAGAAATACTCGCTGAGATTTTGTATTTTTGCAGCGTAATCCACAAGTTTCAGTTCTGGAATTAAATAAATTAACCTTTTAATCACATTCTAATTTATTTATTGAGCTGCAACATTTTTGAAATCATTTTTGTGAGTCTCAACTTTTCACATTTTCCCAAAACTTCTTCAGGAAGCCGTGAACAGAGGTGTCAGCCATGAGATATATCTCAGTGTCTACCTTTTTTCATCTTTGGAATATTTATTTCTCAAGTTCAACATGAAGGAGATTAAAAGAGAAGTCTGGATAAAATCTTCAGAGGGACAGAAACTCCTTCTCCTGTCTTTGTCATTCCTCTCAGGCAGGAGAGAAAGTTTGCGACTTTCTCTGGCTTATTTATAAATATATTTTTTCATTTTCCTTTATCATTTCTGACACTGTCCCTCCATAACTTTCAGATCTGCAGCTCTACATGCCACAATGTTAGCAGCGCAGAACATTCAGTACATTTAATACTGAAAAGGCTTTTAATGAACTTTTGACACTGCTGCAGAAACTAAACATTCCCTTAGATTAATAACCATCCAAGAACCAAATCAAACTAAAAAAAAAAGTAGATTAAATATGCATGATTAATACAGTGGCTTTTACTGTAACAAAGGCTTTTGTCAGTTAGCTTTAGCGCAGCTTGATTAATTTCCCCCAAACTTTCTGAGACAACCTACCTTGATTAAAGATGGCCGCCGAGCCTCTGCTTTGAAAACGTAAAGATAGATTTATACTTGAAATTAAAAAGATGTTAAAAAAAAAAGAAGAAAGGAAAGAAAAGCGCTGTAACTGTTGGTATGAAAATAATCTCTAAAGTTTTCAGCCAGTTTCTCTGTAGGTACAGAAGGTTGTTGCCGTGGTGACGTAACGTTCCAGTTCTGAAGGCAGGAAATGAGAAAAATCCCGAAACGCTGCGAAGTGTTGCCTCCATTTATGTTACCGGTGAGAGGGTTTCTCCCCGTTTCAGTGCTCCCTGTTTTTATCATAGTTCTCCACGTCTGAGTTTTGTTAAAACCTTTTCTAAGGAAGAATGAAAACGACAGACTCGAGGTGCAGCTGCTGTTAAAGCGTTTTAAGTTTTTTAATTAGTGTATACAGAGCCAACTTTACAAACTTACAAAAACAAGTATTGATCTTAATAAATTAAAAACAAAAACAACAATGAGGTGTACATTAAAATGGATACATTCAGGACAAAACAAAGCAACAAAAACAATGAAATTGTTTAACTCGTGGGTTAGGAGCAGCTATTTCCTGATTTATTTTTCAGCTTTCAATCTCGCATGAATGGTGATGCCAACCTAGTCCGATTGTGTGCATGTTGCTGCTTACGTCTTGCTATAAGAACAATTCACATCTGCACTGCTGAGGTTAAAATTATTATTCTTGCTGTGGAAAGTGCAGCTGAAAAACAATGATTCAGTTCCCCAATGTGTTTTCTGCTTCAGCATGTGTCTCATAAATGACTTACAATTTTCTACAATATATCATGCAAATAACTGCCGATAGTCAGATTAGTTCTAGCAGTGTTATTGTCATGACATAAAGTCCAGATCCTCCACACAGTGAAAACCACAGAGGATCAAAGTGTTGATGTGTCATAAAGAAATGCTCTGAGCATGTCGATGAGGTTTCCAGGATAATATCCACTCATGCTCTTCCTTCCTTCCCTGGTTGTGTGATTAAACATTTTGGTGCAACACAGAGTAGCTGTTGCCAAGTTGAAACGGGGAGAGTTGTTTCTGTTCACACCAGCCTTTAATTGTTTGGCCTTGGGCCTGTCAGGACAATCTGGAGCAGTAGTCTGATGTGATAATTTCCAGGCTGTGAGCATGAAGCCCTCTCTATGGCCCCGGTCTCTGCTTCCTCGTCCCTCTTTCTCCACAGCTGGTTAGCTGGACTGGTTGGAAGTCGCGGTGTCTGGTGTCACGAAATCTGTCATGTTTGGTTTTGGTGCAACTGTGCAGATTGGAGTATTGAACATTTACATTGAAATGTATATGGCAGGATTTATAATTATTTAATAATAAGCAAAAGTGAGAAAAAATTTAAAATTCAGTATTTCTTTATATATTTTATTGCATTTTCTGTGGGTAAACCTACAGATTTGTTGTGGTTTGTTATAGTCGTTACACACATCCTTTGTGTCTGTGTAACAAATACCATGTTAAAAATAGAAAGCATCCAATTTTACCACTTAAATACCTGAAATAATGAGAGTTTATGGGGTCCTCTAACAACAATAAACTAACAGGTCACTCAGCAAGCAACAGCACCACTTGGACAGATCATGCCAATAATGAAGCATTAACAGGAGGCAAACATGCTGGAGGTTTAGTTTGGTTTGCCACTGGAAAATAAATCAAAGTTTCTTGCTGGTTAGTATTCCTGTTATTTCTTGACAGATATTGCTGTGGCCTCGAGCAAACGACCATCTGTCAGGGAAGCAACAGCGTGCGTGTTTCTGAGGCTCTAAAATCTGCATTCTGTGGCAGTTCCTGGGTGTGGAGCGGCTCTGGCAGCCGGGCTGGTGCTGAAATCAGCAGGTCAAAGCAGCAGGAACAAGAGACGCTCATCTGTAATCCAGCTCAGGATGGAGCCATTGATACTGATCGAGGCCCGTCCGGGGAACGTGTGATTCCCGATAATGCATAGATTCTGGAGGCAAGCCTGCAAGCCGCGGCAGGCCGGCCACACCCAGATTCTGCTTTTAACAGAGAGTTGTTTAAACATAACCAACTGGAATGTTGAGTTTTATAAAAACAACAACGATGGAATGCAGGGTTTGTCACAACACAGGTCAAATGCAAGTCTCCCCATATCAGATTCTAGTTATTTAAAGGGACAGTATTATCAATCTATCAATCAAGTTTATTTGTGTAACTTATATTTCATAAAAACTCAAAAATACAAAGTCATGAAAACAACATACAATCACCAATTGAGAAACTAGTAATGAAAATTTGTGCCATTTTAGAGCGCAGTCAACTGACTGTTACTGTCAGTTGTTATACAAATGTTTTACATATCAAATATGATGTAAAAGAAATTTTACTGTGTAATTTAATGCCTTGAAATTGGGCCTCTGTCTCTTTAAAAAGTCGCACGCTTTCTGAATTGATCACATCGCTCCTCTTTTAAGCTGTTAACAATGTTTTTACCACTGAGAAGTAGCTTGTTTAATAGGTTCAGCAGATGTGCGGTTATGCTAGGTGTTTGCTAATTGCTGCTGGCTAGTCTGAAGGAGCTGAGTGGAGGAGCTGAAGCTGTGAAGCTTAGAGATAGAGCTCTTATTAACAATTAATCACATGATAAATTAAAATGAGGTCTATAATTTTCATTTGCAGGATTGATCATTTTTCCCTTTTCTCTTTTTCTACCAAAAACTGGATGACAGAAATCTTCAGTCTGGTGTTTTGATCTCAGCTTAATCGTTTTTGAAGGGCAGTTTTGTTTACAGACTTCACAACTCATGTTTTGTTTATTTATTTTGTATATTTAAAATGTCTTCCAGTTCCAGTGTTAAATGTTCATTAGAGTTTAAGTTTTTTTTTTTTTATGCCATCACCATTATATCTCTTGAATATGTTCTCAAAACAATATTTTCATTTATCCCAATAATTTCTGGGACAATTTAACATCCACCAAAATGTGTTATCGTGACAACTGCAGCTCTAGGGAGGAGCTGTGGCTGAAAGGCGGAGCTAAGTCCATCCAGGCGTTTTCCACAACTGAATGGTTGCCATGGAGATTAAAGGATTTCCCAAATATTTATGAAATAATCCATGCAACACTCCAGGTCTGTTTTTGATGAGTGAATGACGTTGCAACATGACTTAAAGCTTAAAAGTCACTTTTTTTTCACATAATAAGATCCCTTTAAAAATAAAGTCAAGTAATTTCCTGGTGGAATACAAAACCGTTTTTCTCAGTGCATAACTGTGCAGAAAACAGTCTTCGGTCGGAGCCACTTAAACCGAGCCACGTATAATTGGTCCGCTCTGTGGTGCAGCTCACGAGTACCAGAAAGCACGACAGCAAGAGCGCTAATTTAATTACATCTGTAACAAATTATGGAATAATCGTCAAACTTTTGCTGACTGCTTAATTATAGCTGGTTCCAGCCAATGAGCAGTAATCCCCAGCAAATTACATATCCTCTCTCTGTCTCAGTGAGACTCCCCATTCATTTTCTGTGCCAGCTTGCCCCATAATAGACATGGGAGATTAATTGGTGTCTGTTAGTCTTGCTGGCTGCCAAGAGTTCTGCTGGAGGAGGCCGTTCACGTGGCAGGGAAAATTGACCCACTTAGCACTCCATCATAGTTCGTGCACCTTCTCCATCCAGGCAATTAGTTGCTGAACCAGGCCTCGGTGAAATTAGCCGTCAATGTGTCTTCCTTCCTCCTATGAATCTGCAGCATGGAAAAACAGATAATGTTAGGTAAATAAGTTATGTATTTGAGTTTGTCTGCTGCCTGCCTCCTGTGAGGTTGTATTCTGCTGCTACTTTTGTCAGGGAAGGGCATGTTAGCCAACATAAATCATATTATGGAGAATTATGTCAAACAGTTGCAGTAGTAGGACTTAGTTACCCCATGCTGGCTGCGTAACTAAGATGATGTTTTTATCAAAATATGGGAACCCATGTATATGTGATAGGACAGAAAATATCCACAAGAAACTTTTTATTGTGATGTGAGTGAATACATCTGTGTACTAATCAATATTCATAGTCTATGTCCTTTTCTATTTATCCTGATTGTGACACCTGAGCCTGATTATGTTTATGGGCCAAAATTTTAAGGTTTGCTTTTTCTTTGTGTTGTATTAAACTGTTGAAAAGTTTAATACATCCTGAGAAAATTTGCAACTCATTTTGTTGCTCAACCTTTTGAGGCAACCACTTTCCTTGCTTTCAATAGGATTTAGATCTGGGCCCATTCAGAACAGTCCAGTGTTTTGCTCTTAGCCATTTCTGGGAGTTTTGTTTTGGGCCATTATCCTCCTGGACGACCCATGACTTGTGACTGAGACCGAGCTTTCTGACACTAGGCAGCACATTCCTCTGCAGAATGCTTTGATTGTCCTGCGATTTCATCATACCCTGCTCAGATTCAAGACATGCCAAAGAAGCAAAGCAGCTCAATAACACTATGATTCGGTTGTGCTTATTTTCCAATGGTCTTGTAGTTTATTCCTCCTTACATCGTTCAGGGTTTTGTCATCTCCATCAAAAAACAAGCAATAAAGAGTTCACAGAAACTGACAATAAAAACAAAAAATAATTTCTTCTGATCAATATTGCTGACACTTTAAACTCCAGCAGAAGGTTATGATTCTTGTTATTTGTTCTGCAGGGGTAAATTGTTGTTTATAAGATATCACACCATTAAACTGAGCGACAAATATACTCAACACAAAAAGATTAAAATGCTGTCGTTTATGCAAAAACAGCTCAACAAGAACAATAACGGTGATGGCGTTCAGAGTCTGGAGAGCACTTCCCTTAAAGATTGCAAAGTAGGAAGAATAAAGAGGCGGCGTTTTTCCACAGCGATATTGAACACTTTGTTTTCTGGGAGCAATCTAAGCTGGATCTCTTTGTCAGTGTAGTGAATATGTTCTGTGACAAATCTCTTTCTCGTATCAAATATCTGTTGCACAAAATCTTTCTGCAATCTTTCTCTGGTTATTTGTTCTATAAAAGTGGAACTGCACTCTCACAAAAGCATTATGCATGTAGAATAAATCTACTTGGTGAAAAGCTGTTAAAGAAACGTAATGAGTTGAAGTCTCCATATTCTGAACACATTTGAATTTGCTG